GGCCTCACGTGGTGCAGTAATTCCCTCACAGATGGTGTTATGAGGGGCCTCACGTGGTGTAGTAATTCCCTCACAGATGGTGTTATGAGGGTCCTCACGTGGTGTAGTAATTCCTTCACAGATGGTGTTATGAGGGGCCTCACGTGGTGTAGTAATTCCCTCACAGATGGTGTTATGAGGGGCCTCACGTGGTGTAGTAATTCCCTCACAGATGGTGTTATGAGGGGCCTCACGTGGTGTAGTAACTCCTGCACATATGGTGTTATGAGGGGCCTCACGTGGTGTAGTAATTCCCTCACAGATGGTGTTATATGAGTGAGGTGTGGTTCCAGGCCTTCCTATCGTAGACGGATTAACACATCGCTGGTAGTTGGGTCTCACGGGCCGTTATCACTGGGTACCTGGGACCTCACTGTGTGAAAGGTCAACTTGGGTACCACTGTTACTGTTGAGTTGTTCTCACTGACTTAAGCACTGTTCACCACTGTTCACCTCTGTTTAACACTGGTTCCATTTCTTTCCTAAATGAAATAGTAACTTCTGGCGTGAACTTGTTGATATTCCGGTGGGGAGGAGGGTTCAGGGGAGGGAGTTGGTATGGGCCAACATAGCAGTTGACCTGGCTGCTCCGAGAGGAGCGCCAGGTACGTCTTGACCCTTCGGTGGTCAAGGATGTAGTGTGTGTATCATATCGAACCCTGGGAAGAGAGCAAGGTGCAGGTTGGGCTGGCTATGTAGTTACAGCAGCCCATTGCCTCCACACACACACACCCATGCTTTTCACTTTCTTAATTTATAGTTATATTTATATTTTCTTTATTTCTTCGTTGCATTAAAATACTAAAATAATTATTCCACAACTTTTATAGTTTCATTACATGTAACAATAGCCACCTCACAATTGACTGTTGACATGTGTTATGGGGAGTTCTATAATGGTTGCTTTTCATAATATTAGACACTCTTCATATTATACATACATTGTTCATGGGTACTAAGTGGCTAGACAGTAAGAGAGTAAAAGTAAAGTAGATTGTCACAAACCACTCGTAAAAATTCCTGATGAAGCCATGAACCCATAGTTAACTTTCCCAACTAACCAATTGTACACATTTTATGATTTTGCACATACAAATACAGTATGTAGATATTAGCAAAAAAATAAAATAAAATAAATAAAAAAAAAAATTTCTGTATAACTGAGATGCAATCTGTTACCCTTCTCTTCACTGGATTTAGGACTCACTTTAGGCACGGTGACAGATATACCTGTACATACACACACGCTGGGAGAACAGGAAAAAAAACCTGGGAGACTACAACAATGTGAGGCGTAGAGGGAAACTGACTGATTGTGGCAAAACAATGATGCAAACCCACGTAGGTGTTACTGGAAACTCCCTTCATCTAGCGGAAATCTTTGCTAGATGGAGAAGGATATACCGACAAAAATTCTTTCCGCTAAAAAGAATTCTGTTATACAGGCTGATTATTGTACAGTCCATAAAAAAAACCACACATTTTTTGGGGTCACTTTTTGTTAACACTCTTCAAACTTTTACGATTTTTTTTTCTTTCCATTTAATAGATCTCTTCGAGAGACAAAAGAATATATACAGTTGGGTCTCACATTACGCGGTTAATGTAACCCGGAGGGTACCGCGGAAAGTGAGGAACGCGTAAAGTGAACAACATAACATATGGGATTAATTGAAATGGAGTCCAGGCCGATCCCCAAACTCCACTTTTTGACGACACACAACTATGTTGTAGTAAAAATATTATCTTAACTTTATGATGGCATGCACACACAATTAATAATTAAGAGAAATATCAATAATATTAGGTTTTTTAACACTTACATTAGTAGAAAAGATGGCTGGGCACACGGGGATGGGCGGTTGGTTCCGAGGCAGAGGGCAGATTATTGGCCCTCACCTGTATCACTTGTATCAATTGTATCACTATCCACCACAGAGGCTTCCAGGGCCTCTTTGTCAAACCCCCCAAAGTTCATATAAGTCCATATCCTCACTATAATTATCACTATCACTGACTTGGGCCAGCTGTAGTGGGTGGCGGGTGAAGAACTGGTAATGTTTTGATGACTGGGCGACCTTGTGCGCACCATTTTCGCGCCTCTTACACAACATGGCGGATGGCGGGAGGTTTGGATCCAAAATGGCGCGGCTTGCCAGCCGCTCTCCGCGTAATGGGGTTCACGACCGCGGAATGTGAGCATGTTAGGTTCCGGCAAGGCACCGCGTTAACGGTGAAACGCGGAATGCGGGACCGCGTAATGTGAGGATTGACTGTACTTGAATTTAGTGGGGCGTTCCAAAAATAAATGCGATATTTGTGATATATTTATTGTAATAATCACGAATTTTTCTAAGTCCCAATTTGATGTTATGGCGACACGTTCATTTGTGTGTTACCACACTTTGATGCGTGGTGTCATTGTGGGATCCAGGGGGCAAAGTAGGATGCGGACTGTTAGGTCAGGTTAGGTTAGTATGTAGACCTAGTTTAGTTTTAACCTTTTTGTTTCCATGAAAATTATATTTTTTTGCAAGTTTTGTTGCTGTTTTTGATGATTCTGACATTTATTTTTGGTGAAAATCACTCGTTTTCAGCCCCCATCCCCACCCAAAACCCCACATTACCAACGTGGACCCCTACATTGTTGGGGTGGAAGGGGGTGGAATAAAAAAATAAATAAATAAATAAAATTAAAGAGGTTTTCCCCAAAGATAAACGTCAGAATCATCTAAAACAGCAACAAAACTAGCGAGAAAAATATATTTTTCATGTTAAAGAAGGTGATGGGTGGTTAACAAAAATTGCTTTTTTTATTATTATTGCTACTCATCTAGAAGCCTTCTTATCTGCAAAAATATTAGGAACTACAACAAAAATGGGTAGCGAGATATTGGCTTACGAATTCATTAATACACCATCTTACTAAAACAGCATTTCAGCCCCTGCCAAGTTGCCAGATACTGCTGTTATTTTTTAACATATCATACTAAAAACAGTGACAGCACTTCCTAGGCAGATTATACTTAAACTACCAAACCAGGATCAAACATGTAGCAATGATTTAAAATTAGAAAAATTTAGATTCAGGACATAATTAAGCAATCAATGGTTCAGAAACAGAATTGTATAAGAGTGGAACAAGTAACCAAACACCATCATCAACTTGAACTCGTTGGACAGATACCACATAGGTATGAGTGATAAGGATTGAGTGTAAACAGGGCTGCTTAGCACAGGCCAATAGGCCTACTGCAGTTTCCCTCATTCTTTTGGACACAAAAGCCAACAGCATCTGCCAGCAAGACAATGAGATCTGGATAATGAATTCAGATTTGGATGATGCAATCTGCATCATCACCCAGTGAGGGTGTTTTGTCACATTGTTGATAATGAAAAAATGAGTTAAAATCTTACTTTCAATGGATCTTCAGAAAGTTATCTATATATTATTCAGTAATACAGTACAATATTATGAAAGTTCAATTTCATTCAGTGCATGTATACAATGGTTCAGTAATTATTGACAACATACCTGTCGCCAATTTTTTATAGAATATTAATTTAAAAACACCACAATTTCACTGTGTTTTGCAGTGGACACTCGTAGTTTGGGCAAATGCAATAAAAAGTGATACTTTTTAAATTATACCCATCCTAACCTCAGTTGGCAAGAAACACAAGTGACCCCCTAGTTGGAGGGGGCACTGTCCCCAGCATATTAAACAGAAAGAACTTACTACAGTATATGGTGTAATTTTTTTGTGTGTGAATGTGAGGAAGTCGCTCGCTCGGACAGAGCGCCTCATTAACATACACAGAATGGAGGACAAAATCGAGCGTTGGTCATGCTACCTTACCAATTTATCACGGCAAAAGACAAAATAGTGCTGCTAGTGCAGGCTTAAGGGTCTAAATATCTACCCAACAAAGCATTTTCCCAAGATGTGAATATCATATCCAAACTCAGCGATGATAGTAAAAAAAAAAAGATCCATAAAAAAATTAGGCTGCGACAGTTATCTCGTCAATATTAACCCAATGGGTCATTAAATTAAATCAACCAACAAACACTAAAAGGATCAGCCACTATACTATATTATAACAAGAAAAAAATTGATTGGTTAGTAGAACCACAATTTAATTCATAATATAAGCCTGGCAGTGACAATAAAGGATCTCAAAGAAACCTTGGAACCTTAGTCAGGGGAGGATCGGTCTGAATACATTAAATTAATTGGATCCTAGACTTGTGTAAGAGGCCAAGATGAATTAATCATTATACTACTGCTTAAGAAATGGACTTTTTCTTTAGGCCAGTTCTAACTTACCACCAGAATTTTCCATGCACCATGTAGGGATGGACAAACAAATAATATGATCACAGCTATCATTTTCGAATAAAATCTATAATCACGGTTCAAGAGACCTTTATATACTCTTTTGTTTCAGCCAAAATCGAAAATTACCTCACTTCACTTGGTCACCATGAATCTCCTCTTGCTGGAAATTTCTGGACCTGCTAGTGCGTATCCCAGTTCCAAGAATATACTCTCATATTACATAATTTCAATTCAAGTACCGCTAATTTACTGCATAAAAGATTCAAAACATCCCATGTCTAGTTCTATCGAATTACTAGTACAGTAACTAGGTTGTGTAATCGTCAGACCGTAACAACCAACACTTCTCATCCCTAGTTACTTTCTTTGATCAATAATTACCTCAAGTAGACGGTCTCATCTTAAACAAAATAGATAATACATAGGAATTACCTAAAATTCCAGCCACGTATCCATTATCCCTCACAATTGTTAAACGAACATGGAAGGCAATTCCAATCCTCCGCCACTGACACTTGGTCAGTGGCGCTCCAGCTACACAATTATTGACCATTTTTATTCATTTTTCTGAGTCGTCTTAATCCAGCCCACAATACAAATACACCTAAACTCACTTACCCGAAAAAGGGGTCATCGTCAAAGCCTCTCATAAGCGATCCGAAGAGCGACATATTGGTGGTAGATCAATATTCCTCAGAGTATGCCAAGGTGTACAGGAGCAGCTGGCGCCACAACCTTCTCTAACACTGGCTCAGGACACACTGGCTCGGCTCTACCAAGATGGCTGCCCTCCACCCTGATCAAAACATCACGTGACCACCACGCTACACCCACCCGCCCTATTTAAATACAGAGGGCGGTGCTAAAATTTTAAAAGGAGCAGAGAGAAATTATAAATGATATAGGGTCAGAATCAGGTGAACATACATAATATGGGCTTCGTGAACACAAGGTAAGAAATATTAAGTAATAAGATAATATACACGCCCGCTCCAATATCCCTTCTCCGCCTACAGTATTTCTCCAATCGACAGAAAAATTTATGACAATTTCTTTTATGGAAATACATGGGTGAACCCAGAAAAGAGCATGTAGCGTAATATATGAGGCCAGTAGTCTAATTTATCTTTGTTCACATACATACGTACACGGAGGAGATCTCGCACTAAGGATGGAGGTGAGAAAGGAAACTCACTTTGGCGTTTTCTTTATATATATATTATATGTACAGAGCAGTCAGGTGCTGGGAAGTTGCTGCGTAGTAGAGGAGTTGCTGGGGAGGAGCGTCTTTAGAGGAGGTCTTCTCTACTTAAGAGCGTGTTGTCTGCTCATACGGTGTGTTGTGATGTTGAGATTGTCGGACCGTAGTCCGACACTGGCCTTCGCCTGTAGGCGGCCTGTTTGGTGGTTCCGGCTGGAGCTCTTGGAGCAGCCAGACCGGATTTGGGATTGGAGGTTGTCCTACCTGCAGATATGAAAGGATACGGTGACAACTCCGTCGATGACACAAAATCTGTGGGAGAAGCATAGGGAGAAGGAGGGTTGTACATATGAGAAGGTTGAACGGCGAGAGGAACAGGGGAGGAATGTGGTGCTTCTCTCGTGGCAAGTGCAAAGTCCTCGGGGGCGCCGGGAGGGAGTAGTAGGTACTTAAGAATGAAAGGAGGGCACATAGAACTGTTGTGGATAAGGAGGTGCTGCAAGTGGCACCTGTGGGCAGACTGGTGCAGGTGTGGTTTGTTGGGGGTAATGCTGGGCTGGGGCCCCATCGGGTAAGGTGGCCGGCTTCACTAGATCGACACTCAGGGTGTCGTGTCTGCCATTGCGAATGGTCGTCATGAACTTCGCTGACCGTGCAAAAACCGGGAAGGGTCCGTCGTAGGGGCGTTGAAGTGGGTTGCGGTGAGCATTGCGCCTGACGAAGACATACTCGGCGTTGAGTAGTGCAGGAGGGATGTGTTCAGGGCGACGAGAAGGCTGGGTGGGGCAGTAGCCTTGAATGCAGACACTGCTTGTCGTTGTGTTTCTAGTAGGTCGTGACGGGCAGCAGGAGTGAAGTGGTCAAGGTCAGGAGTAAGTGAGAAGTCCCCAGATAGGCGAAGGGGCTCGCCTCGGGTGAGATCTGCTGGGCTGCAGTCCATGTCGTCTTTGTGTGATGCGCGGATGCCAAGGCGCACTAACGGTAGAACATCCGTCCAGCTGTAGGGGGCGTGCTGTGCCTTGATGGCGTCCTTCAGCTGACGATGAAACCGCTCTACAATGTCGTTGGATTGAGGATGGTAAGCAGTAGTGCAGTGCCTGGATGTGCCGAGGAACTGCAGAAGACTATACTTTACTTTACTTTTATCCTCTTCACCATTGATCGGCTCGTTAGCCGCTTGGGCTATCGGTCACTTCTTTGATTACTTTTCCTTTTCTTTTATCCTCTTCACAGTACTCCAGAAGGGGAGGCGCCTCACTCTTGATGATCGTGACGAGCGATAGACTATCCAGATATCTAAACGACCTTTTTCCAAGACCTACTAGTTTTGTTACCTGATTCACCTTCCCACAATGGCCCGAGAACTTAAGTTCAATGTCTACATACACGGGTCTCAATCAGTGTAGTCTCTTCGTCCTGGTGGGACATGCGATACGCCTGCTTACTACCTATATTGGTGCTACCTCACAACTACACATGACAATTTCGTACCACTAATCACCACACATTGCTTGCGATCAATCAGATTCTCCGATCCATGCAAGGACACTTCCCCGAATCCCGTAACCTTCCAGTTTGATTCTTAGCCTTTCATAGGGTACGTTGTCATAAGCCGCCTTGACAAAATCTAGGTATATATTGTCGATATTTCCGCCTTGTTCTAGAATTGAGTAATTGTGTTAAGCAGGATCTTTCCGGAATAAAACCGCATTGGCATTCCTTACAAGGTTGTTTAGTCGCAATGTTCCATCATGAGATCTCTTACGATGTTCTCTAGTACTTTGAGCACTATGCTGGTCAGGCTCACTGGTCTAAATTATTCGTGGAATGACGATCGTCCTTCTTGAATATAGGACACACTTAAGCCATTTTCCAGTCATCGGGAACCTTTTGCTCCTCCAGACATTTGCAGAACAAGATCTTAAGGGGCTCCGCAAGTTCGTTACACAGTTCTCTTAACATTCTGGGGTGTACCATGTCAGGGCCAGGACTGTTGTGAATCTTTAGCTTTGATAGCGTATTTCTTATAACCTCGTCCGAGAACACAATGTGGGTCATCTCTGTGTCAAACCGTATTTCCTTAAACACTGAAAGTTTGTTCGTATCTTCTCTTGTGAACACCGATGAAAAAAAAATGTTCAAGGCCTCCACCTTCCTGGTCAGAATCTGCATAGCTACCATCTCCAAGACTCAGGTCCGATATGCCTACTCGCGTTTTTAATTTTGACTCTGCGTAGCGGTAAAACGCCTTTGGGTTCGACTTAACCTCACTAGTAATCTGCCTCTGGAGCTCTTCTTCAGCCCTTCTACACTCTGACTTTGGTTGGTTCCTGGAACTGGCATACATCCTCCTGTCCTGCTTTCATTTGTCCTAACCTACGTCTCGAAATCCTGAGTTTTCTTAACTTTGCAGACCGCCGCATGGTTCATGTGTAGCGGTCTTCTTATAATCCTGGAGGCACTGGGTTTGATCTTAGGTATACATTTATCAATCGAATGGTTTACTTTACTGCCTATGTTATTCAGCGTAGCATCTGCGTTCTTATTCCTGAGTAAGTCAGGCAGTGTATACTCGTCATCTCCTTCCCCATCCCGTCATAATTTCTTATGTAATATTTGAATCTGGACCTGGTTTTATCATGAACCAAGTAACAGTTACAGAAGATCTGAAGGACTGGCCACCATACACTCCTCGTTAGTTATGATGAGGTCCTGCGGTCTGGGTGTTTGCTCCCCTCAGTAGTGAGTCGGATCTTTAACATGTTGAAATAGAAATTTGTCTATAAGAGTTTCTACGAAAAGAGTGGCTGGATTATTTAGGTCGTTTGGCGTGGATTAATTTCTCCAGTCGATGTCGCCATAATTAAAGTCCCCCATGACAAGGAGGTGGCTAGAGTTTTGCACCGTTACATGTCAATTAAGGCTCTTAAGTTCCTCTGGTTTAATGCGCTACAGTTTGGGGATGTGTACATACATCCAACAACGAGTAAGTCTCTCCCCTTCAGTTTAATTTTACACCACTTTGATTCTTCGAAAACATCCTCTCCCCATACCCTCACCTGGCTGGGCTGTGTCTTGGCTTGCATAGGTAACCACACCCCTCTTGTACATTATGCTTAAATTCATAAGATTTATTATGGTGTAGTTGCGACATAAACTGTATATATTATGTATTCATGTCAGATATGATGTGGTTTAAAAAATAATATCTAAAATAACAAAACCCACTATCCAGCTAATTTAGATTTGTGATTTACTTTTACTTTTATCCTCTTCGCCACTGATCGGCTCGCTAGCCGCCCGGGCGATCGGTCACGTCTCTGTCACGCACTGTTGGCAAATACTGGGCATGCACCCGCTCCTGAATGTACCTGAACCCGCTCCAGTGTTGGTCAAGTCTTGTCTTGAAAGAGCTCACACTCGGTGCCGTCACAACACTCTCTGGTAGATTGTTCCAAGAGTTTACAACCCTCACTCCGAAAAAGTTTGCCCTCACGGTTTTCTGATCTTGCGGCTTCTTCAATCTTGAGCTGTGACCCCTTGTGGGGCGAGCGTCCGCCAGCTCCAAGTAAGGACACTCAACTGAGTAGTGTCCCCTGAGATGCTTATACACCTCAACTAGGTCCCCCTTGCCCGTCTGTAGTATAAGCTAGGCAAGTTCAGGCGCTCCAATCTCTCAGGGTAGCTGAGGTGCCGAAGTGCAGGCACCAGTTTGGTGGCCCTCCTTTGAACATTTTCAACCAACTGACAGTCCCTAGCATATCTCGGGGACCAGACGGGGTAACAGTACTCCAGATGGGGAAGCACTTCACTCTTGAAGATCGTCACGAGGGACGGACCGTCTAGATATCTGAACGACCTTCTTATAAGACCCAATAATTTATTTGCCTGATTTACCTTCTTCTCACAATGGCCCGAGAACTTCAGCTCATTGTCAACATACACACCTAGGTCCTTCTCACACACAGTCTCAACTAGTACATTTTCTTCATCCCGTTGGGACATATGATATGCCTCCTTTCCGTTGGTACGCCCCAGGTGCATCCTCTTACACTTCGTGACATTGAATCTCAGCAGCCATTCCTTCGACCATTCCTGGAGCCCACAGAGGTCCTTCTGCAGCTCTTCACAGTCCGCTTGGTTCTTGATTTCCCGAAATAACTTGCCATCATCTGCAAACATTTGTATGGAGGAGTGTACAACGTCAGGTATATCATTTATGAAACAAACAAACATTAATCACCACTGAGATAAATTACCTTGATTCAGTAGTATAGACAAGTAATGCATACATTATTCATATATCATGAGCAGAACCTACCTCAGTTCCTTCGTCACGGAATGTAATTTCATAGTGTCATATCCTGTTACTTTTCTCACTTTCTGAAATGAATGAACTCACTGTTGTCTGTGTTCCGATATCTCCATGTCCTTCTACATATGTACCTAAGTTTACTTGGAGCTAACTAAAGTCACTCAGAAATCATGACTATTACTACTACTTTTTGTCTTTAATAAAATCAAGAATAACAAAAATACATTCGTTTTAATATACTCTAATGATACCGAAGTCGAAGTATAAGTTCAGCACTATCGGAATCGGACACAGTGCTCTAGTACTTGGAAACATCATGGCGGCTGTGGCTGTTGAACGTCCTCCGGTAAGATAATATGATTTTATTTGTGTTTTAACGAGTTTTCATACATAAAAAATATAAGTGATAACTAATATAAGGTATTTTTTTATGTTTTGGGCGGTTCAGAATTCTAAATAAAAAGATGTTGTATTGAAAGCTCCGGGTGTCTTGATGGGTGTGACCCAATAGAGGATGTGATGAAACTCTGGTATTCTCGTTTATTTGTAGAGCTATAGAGTAGTGTTGTCAATTTACTCCCATTACTGAATTTAGGGTAATAGTGGAGCAAACGGCTAACACCAGGAGTTGATAGAATTTGAAGAAAACAAAAACAAAAAAAACATTGTGGAAACGTTAATTTTAATCTATTAATTAAACAAATTGAGGCAAAAATTTTTAGTTTTGGTCATCCCTGTATTTAGATATTCAACCTAACCTAACATAACCAACCAAACCTAACAGGGGGTGGGCCCATTGCGTCACCAACCCGTTTCGTCACCACCTTTTTTTACTGATTTTGTCACCACTTTTTTTTTTTCCCCGTTTCATCACCTCGTTCATTCCCATCACCATTTCAAGGGCTTTGGACCTTCATTATATATTCACTGAAGCACTGAAGACGGAATGGCTGGTTTACTATCTTTGTGTACATACATTGGATCATGTAGGCATGTTTTATGACAATTTATTAAAGACGAAAATAAAAAAATACAAACGTTTTTATTCATGCAAGCATCTAATTAAAGCAATTTATTAAAGACTAAAACGAAATTCCGGGAACATTTTTCCGTTACCCGTAAAATTTCGGGGATGAGAGATTTTTTCCGACTTTGAGAGAGTCGCCTCGTTACCCGGAAATTTCTCATTCCCATAAGTGCTCTGCACCAATTGTTCCGGCTAACGGGGATATCACTTAATATATACTGTATGTATGTATGTATGTATTCTTTAAATCTCTGGACATGCATTTCAACAGTATCAGGGTAAAACATGGTAAATAGTACTGTATACTGTACGTACTAATAATCCTGTGCTTGACTTTCTTCTATTACTTTCAAATACTGTAACACACCACTTTGCTGGAGCACTCGACTAGTTTCCGTCTCCCACCTGGCAGGCAATATGAGCTGTTGCCATATGGTGCCAACTCGGCTAACTGCTGGCATGTAAACGTTATTGATATCCTCTCATTGTAAGGTAAAAAAAAACACCGATGATAATAAGTGACAACACCAATACTGATCGATAATTGTTGAATTACACTCTCGTCTCTGCCTTGTGGTGTCACCATAGAACATGGCTTGCTACTGTAGTGCACCGAATGGCCGCCATTTTAGGTGCTCGGCCAGAGTTTGTATAGCAGGATGCTAGTTTCTTAATTTACTGTTATGATAGTAGGGAGCTAATATTAATAATTGTTGTGCACTAGATACCGGGATATCCGGTTCAAAGGACATGTCAGATAAAAATTTGTAAGAGTGATTTTCGCCCGAATAATTTATTGTGAAGTGACTGCGACCCTAGACGGTGGTCCCTCGATTAACAAACGGTTCATTTAACGAAATTTCGGTTAACGAATTAGCTCCCATAAGGATTTTCAGTTCCATTAACGAACAAAACTTCGATTAACGACAGCCTTCTGAGAAACACGCTTTGTTGTCTGCATCAGCTGATCGGCTAGTCCTCCAATACAGTAATCAGTTCTATGTTTACATTCATTTCTAGTGGCGTAAATATCAAGAAAGTTGTGCTCTTGAATATTTTTTCATTTTTTTATATTAAAATTATTGGTCATTCTGAAATTTAGTTAACATATTGATAATATATACAGTACAGGAAACAGTTTTTGTGTGTCCTTCAGCTGATTGAATCACCCATCAACGCTTCTCAGTTTAACTTTGTTTACAGTGGAGTGAACATCGAGTTTGTTGGTCTCTTAAATATTTTTGCATTTTTACATTAAAATTATTGGTCATTCTGAATTTAGTTCACATATTGATAATATACAGTGCAGAAATTATTATGAAACATGAATAAGGCATTAGAACCAATGCACTCTGTAAAGAATATGGCATGTCATCATCGACTGCCTCTACAATCAGCTGTTTGATATGTAAACAAAGCTGCGGGGAATATGACATACACACCTCAAAGTAAGTTAAAATACAGTATTCTATTGTGTTTTATTTATTATTGTCAGTGTTGTTCTCGTCAACAAAAAAAGTGGCTCCGCCAGTGTCTGCGTAAACGGCCGAGAAATTTGATGCTGTCGGCGTAAACGATTTCATAAATTGATGCCGTTAGCGTCAACACCTAGCGTCAAAGAGTTTTCAGTGATGTACAAATGCAGCCCCGAAATGCGTATTCTCCTGCGTATGGGAGTAACATATGCAAAATAAAAAGATATTCATTCGTTTTTAATCATTTATTATGATTTATATAATATCATTTTAATTATTCATTTGTTTCCCACAAGAATACTAGCATCTCAAAATGCTTGTCGCTCATTCTGCTGCGCTTGGGCCTCAAGACGTCCTTGCCCATGGAGAACATGCGCTCCACGGCAGCACTAGAGGGGATGGGGGTGTTGTATTTGATGAACAACTGCCTCATTGCCTTGTCGGTCGTCTTTATAACAAGATAATTGAAAATCGAACTTTGAAAAATTTAAAATTTTAGAAGTTGACGAACAAATTGACGCTTGACGCTCCGCTCGGGTGAAAAGTTGACAGCCCCACCAGTAGCGCCACCTGCCCCAAAAATTGATGGCGTCAGCGATAACAAAAAGTTGTCGCCGTCCATTGACGGCATTAAATTAATGGCGTCCAACGTACATCACTGATTAATGTACAGTATACTGTACTATACAGTACTGTATTTAGTTTATATTTAATGTTTTGTTAATTCTATTACCGGTACAGTACAGGTATACAGTACTTTGTATGTTTACTTTTTCTGTGAGTTGGAACCAATTACCCAATATCCCATTGAAATAATAGATTCAGTTAACAAAGTTTTCAGTTAATGAACGACTCTGTGGAACCAATTGGGTTCGTTAATCGAGGGACCACTGTACAAATATGCAAGGTAGAAAGAAGAGGCCCTGCTCTACTGGGGTTCGCTATCATATTTTTTGAAAATTAAATATACTTTCTATGTACTGTACAGTACTGTACTTAATTATTAATGAGAGTATATTATGCACTGATTCAATGTAATATCCTGGTACAGTAGAACGTAAATTTAAAGCGATTCAATTTAAGATTATTGATTTAAAGCGACACCCACAATTAAGGACAATGTTTTATTTTAAAGCGAATCTTTCCTATTTTGCACGAGTCAATCTGGCTCATCATATTTTAAAATTCGCGCCTAATGTTTCTCTGGGCACGCTACACTGTCCTAAGGGCAAAGCTGTGCTGTACATGTTCTCAAAATAATGTACTAAATGATTACTAAAAGTTTTGTCTAGTGCAAACTATAGCATGATTATTTTCAAATTAATCACCATCTTATAAGAATTCCAGCAATGTAATTTGTATTCTCCCCGGTCACTTCTGTGACATTAAAAAAAAAAAACAATCTAAAGGACAAAAATAAACAAATAAATACTTCACTAGACCTTTGGCACAACTGTCAAACATGTCACTGTCCCCTCCCCTCCCTCCCCCATCTTCCCAACCAGGGTTTGGTGGTTATAGGCTTTCAGTTTTTATCTTATATAATGTCACAGACTAAAGTTGGGAAAATATAATTTGCATTGCTAGAATCCTTGCAAGACAGTGAATAATTTGAATGTAAATGTCATATATTTTGCACAAGAGATAAAAATTTTAGCCCTTTGTAATAAAATTAATTAGACCATGTCAGTTTAGTGACATTTTATAAGAGAAAACTTAGTCACTCTTAAGGACAGATAAATAAATAAGCACTAGACCTTGGCATCAACTGTCAAACACATCACCTCACCTCCCCCCACCCCATCTACTCATCAGCTAACCGCTAGTAAACAATGTTTAGTTTATTCTAGGAGATGGGCTGAGGTGCATCTGGGCACACTCAGTCTTTTTAGTATTTTGTGTTTCTCTCATGTACCAAACTAAATTATTCCATTGAAACAACACTTCGATATAGTGCGAATTTATCGGTTTAAAGCGACCTCTCTTGGAACGCATCTCGTGTTATATCAACGTTCTACTGTATAAGCAAATAACAAAAGGTCTACTATAATTATTTAACCATGTTACTAACCTTTTACTATACATTATATGATGCTGAATTTAGCCCTTAATCTCTGTTATACAGCAAGGATGTTATATACTGTACTACCCAAAATGTTGTGGCCAAAACAATGAATTAAACTAAATTGTTCCAGTAAATTAGCATCGGAGTCAATATTGAGTCAGGATTAGATACTGTTCTCTAAAATTCTACATGTACAGTATAACAAGGATACTTTATCTTAGTTATGATGGGTGTGCCTCCTGGTGATGTTTTACTCCATCACAGCTTCAGATGGCTAGTTTGCCGATATTCTTTTACTATGATTCATGCACTGAATAGATAAACTCCTGGAGATACAGAATATGTTTGAAGACCATGGACCTTCTAATATTGATAAGTTGTTGTACATATTGTCTCTTACCTTCGGTGTTGTCCAGCTCTTCCGCAAGGTATCACTGCGTTGCGTCAGTCTCTGCATGACGTCCTTATTCAGTCACATAGCTGTTTACCTGCAAAAATATTTAGATGTTACAGTAAATGATTTTCTCCTAAACAACAAAACTATACATTAATACTTTTTATTTGGTAAGTTTAGTAATTTAATATGAGGTAGTTTTCTATTAACTTTTGGTAAATAAAGAAATCTTAGTTTGGGGGATAGATTTTACCATACAGTATTACGCCCAAAACAAAGTTTTTGACTTACTAGTACGTAACTTGAGCGGGTCGTTCAAATTCGCCTCTTTTGTCAACTCGTCCGAGCTATTAGGTACAGTTGCCAGCAAAAGTCCTCCCACAAACTTGCTACACAGGGTTGTGGGAGAACTTTTGCTGGCAACTGTACATAAGCATTTAAGCAACTTTGTATAAAGAACATTTACAGGCATATTTTTCTTAATTCTACTTAACTGTATAGTACAAGTATTTACATTTATCACATTACTTTTCCCAACACCGACCACCTACAGTTCCCATAAGCAGAATACATTCTAATATGGATTAAATAAACTTGATACTGTACTGCTCTATTAATGTTACAGTATTATGATTAATACATATGCTTAGATGTATTGTTCCCACTAAAAAGTTGCTTAAAAATTTGTATTTTTACGTTTGGGGGAAATTTTTTCCGTAAAAACGTATCTCCCTCTATACAGTACAGAATATAATGGCATTCAATGGGGAAAATGGCTTTGATATGCAGGTATGTAAGGTTTTTCAGAAATATATCCCTTTTGTAAATTGAAGCACTCCTGTACAAATTTATACTTGAGCTATGAATAAAGTGGTGCTCCAAAACCATTACCTGCATGCACAAATGTAAGGCTCATGTAACATGTACAGTTGTGGAAATGTGTTCCTCTACCAGTGTCTCCAGACGGTAACATAACAATACTGTAGTAGTATCACTATTTCTGATGGAATGGGTATTGGTCATGTAACAAGAGACGTGATTGGTGGATAGGATTGCTATAGGTCATACAGGTTGGCCGTTGGAGACACTGGTGTCCACAGGGGAGTAGGAACACATTTCTGCATCTGTATCAATGTTTAATATGCTCTTATGTTGTCATAATTAACTACTGTACATTCGCAATCCAAAGCTCCGACACCCCCTGGCTGGGTGTTCGCCGAGGCCAGGGTTGAGGTAAGGCTGGGTGATAGGACCCAGTCTAGTTCAGCAATGTGGTAACGAGGCACTATGATGGTGAGGTTGACATTCCACCGCCACAACACTCCGAGACTCATAGCACACGAGCGTCGAGCACATGTCAAAATTCGTAAAAATTTCCTTCTATGCTCGTGTGCTGTGAGTCTCAGAGAGTGTTGTGGTGGTGGAATGTCTGCGTCCGATCACCCAGCCTTACCTCAACCCTGGCCTCGGCGAACACCCAGCCAGGGGGTGTCGAAACTTTGGATTGTGACTGTACCTGAAAAATTTTTGTATTCTGTGGCAGATTTCACTGAAAGGATACCCATGACTCTACCTGGTCAGTTGGTATGCCTGACTAGATACTGTACAAGCTTCGAGTTGTTCAACAAATGATTGTTTGAAATAGTGGACTTATTATTTTAGTTATGGAATACAGACACAAACACCCAGTAATGAGTTATCAAAGTAATTATGGAAATCAATAATATAACGGGCTACCAATTTTCAAGTTCCACAGGCCTATCAACTGTTTATGGGGTACACAGGTGCTTGCGTTGGATGGATCAATTTTTCTGTGATGTATTTGCCAAAACTTGGGAAGATACTTGTTTCTTAGACTGTACAGTCCCCTTCACTAGTGGGTTTACAGAGGCTCATAAACATTCCACAATTTATTCAGTAATACAGTATCTCCGTTAGCCGGAATCCCTCAAACCCAGAACTCTTCGATAGCTGGAATTGAAATTTTCTCGGAAAATTATTCCCAAAGCCGTAACTTTCCGGAAAATTCCGGCTTTGGGAGCGATTTTCCGAAGGGCACATTTTCTGAAAAATTCAGAGAAAAATTTCCCGATACATGGAAAATTCTGGGGATGGGGGATTTTTCTTTCCAGGTTTGAGAGATGGAAATTAGGAGCCTTTTCTGGAAATTCCGAGAAATTTTTTTCATTACCCTAAAAATTCTGAGGATGAAGACTATTTTTCCGGGTTTGAGAGATGATGTAATGGGCAATTTCTGGAACTACTGCTCATCCCCGACTTACGACGGGGTTAGGGACCGACAGCCAGGTCGTAAGTCGAAATGGTCGTAAGTTGGAAATGCATAAATAACACGTAGAAAATCGAAAATGGGTGTCTCTTTTTCTTCTCAGCACCACAAAACACTCACTTTTAAGCTTGCCAGTCATTTTAAAGTGAATTACAGATGAAAATTATGTGTGTGAACTGACTTTGGGACTCAAAAATAAGTAATTTAACCAAGTTTTGGTACGACTGAGGCAGGTCGTAAGTGCGGGTGGACGTAAATCAAGTAGGTCGTAAGTCGGGGAGGAGCACTGAGAACATTTTTCCGTTACCCAGAAAATTCCGGGGATGGGGGATTTTTTCCCGGCTTAGAGAGAGTCGTCTCGTCACCCGGAAATCTCTCGTCCCCGGAAGTGCTCTGCACCAATTGTTAGGCTTCCGGGGATATTACAGTATTATCTTTGAGATATCTGTTTTAATATTGTTTTAATTTGATTCCATAATATGGTTACTATTGCAAGTTTCCTTCTGTTGTATATAAACAAAGATAGCGCTGTCACACTGCACAAAACCTGATGAGCCCCTGTAAACGCACTTGTGAAGGGGGACTGTACATGTAGGTGCTCATTATTTCATTTATTTTTCTTCATACAGGTAGCAGTATAACTATAATTATGATTGTTTTTTTGTTTTTACAGTATAATTTTTAAGCTTACTACAGTATCCTGTAATTATACTGTACAGTAGTGGTATTTGGGAGGTATATATTTAAGCTACAAATACAATAGGACATTAAGATATGATATATAGATAAAGCTACAGCTCTCCTTGCATAGTCACCTTCCTCCCCTGCCTCGGGAGTTGGGGATGGGACGTCAAGAGAGGGTTCCATCCTATCCTCTACCTCAGCCAGGTCTGTCTCCAGCGCTGCTTTCACCGCCCCAAGTCCTGACCTTCATCTTGGTGACTGGTATACAGATCAGGTACACCACGAACTTGGGGAGTTGTGGAAAAATTATGTTTTTCTGCTGGTTGCTTGCCAATTGTTAAGAAAGTTGTAAATGCATACAGTATATGTCCCATTTTATGTATATCCGTACTGTACCATATTAAATGCGAATGGCTTTGTATTCTTTGTCACTAACCTCATTCTTATGAAGAAATTTCAAGCAAAAGTTTTACAAAATTCAGCATGAAAATTTTATAGCTTAATTTATTTTTGAAAATGCACAATTTAATAATACACTACTGTATATTAATTCATGAAGACACTCTGTACTTTTGAAGACAGACTCAGTGTGCTTTATGTAATTTTGTGAAGATGAACAGGACTCCAGAGAGTGTAGCTAAAAAATTATAATACTTCTTAATTCCCCTGGTTGATGTGTGGCTTTTGTTGAGGATTTCTAGTGTTTTGTATATAATCCCTAGCAGTGTTTTAGTGCCACTGTACATGGCTTATAGCCCTACCCATGTTCTATTGTAAATTTAATCCCTTTAAGAAAAAGGGGATTAATAAACAAAATAAGGTAAATATTATAAAAAGTTGAATTCTTTCTAATTTACCTATTTGTTAGATACATACAGGTGGAAGGTAAAATCTCTTAAACTTGATGGGCTACTTATTAGTGCCATTGGGGGCATTGAATAAAGTCTTTTCGTAGAGTTATCTGAAATATGTTTTATCTTTTGAGTATTTATTTATTTATTTGGTAATGGTCCATTTGGTAGAGTTTGATGGTTGTACAGTACTGTATACTGTTTATAAACTCTACTGTACACGGTACAGTGCATATCAAAATTTCTTTGAAAGCAGTCATCGGCACTATTATTGATATGTATGTAAATTTTTAGATTTCTGTACCATATTAATTTCATCAGCTCAAAGATTGTTGAGATATCTTACAAGAAAATAAGATAAATTTCAGATGATTTATGTTTGTAACTAAAGGTAGTACAGTATTTATCTTTGAATATGCTAGTCATCTAGTTATCACTACTTATTATGAAATACTGTAATAGAAATACTGTACTATACTGTAGTAATTTGAAATTAAGTAAAAGGTTTACACTGAAATGTACAGTCCCGAACGAAGTTCTCACAACAGTCAAGGTGGGTGGGTGGTGTAAAGTCCACCCACCCTTACTGGATGATGGGTCCGCTGTCTATTAATTACAATGATCTGCATGACCCAACATATATGCAAACATCATTCCTTGTATTATTGCATCTCCAGCAATGGATTTGGCCATGAGAAGTGCTGTGGAAAATCTTCTCATCTGTATATATCACTCGTTCCCAAATATCTTCATCTTTCTCAGCATAAAGCTGAGTGAAAGCCTGTCTCGCTGTCCAGTGTCCCTCTGTGAAAATCTTTTTCTTCGCCGTCCATTAAGGGTGGGAAGGACTTTGCACCCTCCACCCTCACTGGATGGCTGGTTGTTGTTAGTGATACCACTCGTCAAAAAACATTAATAGACAGTGGGAATACTACAGGAGTAGACCAGAGCTGGTGTTTGACCTTGTGGCATCCATGCCGAACAGGCTACAGGGCGTCATTGAAAGGCAGGGCGGTTGGACTGGCTACTGATTGAATAACTTTGCTGACAATATGTTATACATAATTTGTGTAATATAAAGACTAGATTGCTTGAATTATTATTATTGAGTGTACTGTACTGTATATAATATTAAGTAGGCAACATTCATGGTTACCTATACGAGTATAACTAATAATAAAATATGGTCATGCTACTTTTATCTTATTTTTGGATCAAACGCTAATCAATCGGTGTTGTGACCTACTTCTTGTTGTGTCACACTTTTATATTAATTGTGTTGCTCATAAGTCAGTCATCCATTGTAGGGATCAAGCCAAGGTTACATGCAGTAGACCCTATGATAAGACTATTATCACGGAGGGTGATAAAGCATTCTCTCATGAACCATATTATTCCTCACATTAATGCTTAGTTTTCTGGCTACCATTCTGAGGGACAATGCAGCTTGGGGGATTCTGATATCGTTGCAAACTCCAGCCACCAAGACACACTCTGTACTATGTCATGATTATTTCATAATGATGCAACCTATTATGTCAAATAATGTAAAACTTGATTAAGTTAATTGTTTCCTGAATATATTAAAACAAAAATATCCTTCCCTAGTCCTTATTGAGAAATGGAAGTATCAGAGCTCGATTGTTGAACTGTGTGTGTATGTATGTATGTATGTATGTATGTATGTATGTATGTATGTATGTATGTAGGGAGGGAGGGAGGTGATGGCTGGACAGTGGACCCGTTGCCCAGTGAAGGTGGGCGGACTTTACACCACCCACCTTGACTGTTATGAAAACTTTCATCCGGGACTGTACAGCTCCTCCCCGACTTACGACCTACTCAACTTACAACCACCCACACTTACAACCTGCCTCAGTTGTACCAAAATTTTGTCAAATTACGTATTTTCGAGTCCCAACTTCAGTACACAGACAAAATTTTCGTTTGCAATTCACTTTAAAATGGCTGGCAAGCTTAAAAGTGAGAGTTTTGTGGTGCTGAGAAGAAAAAGAGACACCCATTTTAGATTTTCTCTGTATTATTTAAGCATTTTCGACTTACGACCATTTCGACTTACGACCTGGATTTGGGTCCCTAACCCCGTCGTAAGTCGGGGAGGAGCTGTACCTACAAGACTTGTCAAGTACAGTACATGTAGATTTTATAACTACTGTACTGTATGTACCAAAGCTAGTGTAAGAAATCATCACCCTGAATTAATGATCTCATAAGTTGCCTTTAGTTTAATTGTTTTTATAAACTGTCCAGGTTTAGTGTGGGAAGCCCTGATATACCTGTATCAGCACCTTAACATCTTTTGATGCTACAAAGAATTATGGAAATATACCCCAAAATATTGCAACTTTGGATGTTTCGTATGAACAGTAAATAAAAACATGGGATTTTATTTATTTATTTTTTATTTTTTCATAGCTAACTGGAGCTTTTTCAATCAGGGAATGCTTGTAATTATTTTGTTTGGAAAGCAATATAAAAAGCAAGTATAAACATGTACAGTACAGTAATTAGAACTGTATATGAGTTGGCATAAATCATTTCAGCAGTTTAGTTTGTACTGTAGAATATCAAACTAATCCTTGGGACCAAGCAGTGAGCAGATTTTGGATATTTACAGATAATAGAGGTATGGGCCTCAGATTATGGGCTGAACATATGCCTTTGGCAGAGTGTTTTGGATAGTTGATGTAAGTTCAAAATATGAATTATTGTAGTTATGATATTCTGTATGTAAATGCAATGCTGTGTACTGTATATTACATGAAACATTTATTAGCTATTTACTTTCTTACAGACATTATCCAACACTGCTCCTGATAATATTTATTACCTACTGTACAGTACTGTATTGTACATATAGTACACTCGGTAAAAACCTACCGTAACAATTCCTGCGCGAAACAAACTGAGACTACAAACGAAGCGTTTCAAAAAGGTCCCAGAAGCATTCCTCGCATTGGTAGCCCTGCGAGTGTATGGGTTCGGCCACACGTGCTCGAAACAAGCGATCGGCACTCTGAAACGAGTCAGAGTTAGTGCTGCCACATCAATACAATTTGAAACTTGGTTGGAACTCTATGCCTCATTTCTCCATGTCGAATACACATTGTGAGCAGTGTTGTAGCAACCTAATATTGTGATTTACGTAATTAGTGCTACCAACATTTCCTGATATCTTACATAAAGAATGTGTATGTTATATGAACTGTGGAGCTATTCACTTGTTTCAGAACAGCATGGTATATTTTCCAATATGAATAAAGAGTGACATAATGTGGCATTAGCCCGAAGTGAAGTAGCAATACAAATACTGTACAGATTAGAAATTCGGTTGCAAAATAATCTTTCACCTTTACTATATCCACTAATTCTGCCAAACATATAATGCATTCCTATATGGCAACTCAAACCACTTCCATGGTTACTGTACTCCACGGTGTGTGGAATATTGAATATAACATACAATTTAACTTATCTAGATATACTGACATTCTCCAGTCATATTGTGACAAAGTAATTCAATATTGTCAATGAAATAGCTAATTTCGGCCTACCAAATGACTCACATTCAGGCCTACCAACCCTCGCAAGACAATGGGAGTGTTCAGTTGGAAAATCATCAGACCTCACCTGTATGGTAATTTTTTTACCGAGTGTACATTATATGAGCACCTTCAATGTTATTTCATAATTTAATTTATTTACTGGATACTTGAGTTATGTTTTTACACAAGATCATTTAATGAAAAAGATCTCTTTAAAATATATTTAATTATTCACCTTAAATTTATCTTGAGGAAGTATAGCAAGTCTTACCAGGGAATGGCGATGCAGCAGTGATGTTAACCATTGGGATGATACACACCTATTTACTATTGTAAGGAGTGTATTGTAGATCTTATCAAAAAGTCACCTTAACAAATTCTATTTTACTTTATATCAAATATAACCAAATAAACATATCATAGGACTCAGTTCAGTAATCATATACTGTATCACAATAATTATAGATAAGGTAGTGCATTTGGCTTAAATTCCATGGGTTGATACTGCTCTGTGTTCAACAAAGAAAAAGGAAATTATTTTGATTATGCAAAGGCACCTCTTAATATTAATACGTACAGTACATTTGTTTTATGAAGCCTGGTGCATATCTGTAGTTTCATGAAAGCATCTTTCAAAGAACCTGTGCCTTTTATTTCCAGGTACTAATTGTACTCTTTTCCAATGTGCAACAAGATGGCACATATTTGTAATTTAGTTGATGTGTAATTAAATTTATTTATATTTTTTAACTACCAATACCGCATATTGTTAACTTGATCACTGGTGTTGCAATCACAGTCACTCACAAAAACCGGTAAGCTATGTTAACAAATTATGAAATTATGAGTAGCAATGCGGGCTGACATTGCCTGCCAGTGTGGTGGAGTCATCACTGTGCGCTTCTGTGCCACCCTGTCTTACTGACATTTTCTTTGGTCCCAGAGGAGGAGGGGGACCACCACCAATGATAAGCCAAACTTGTAGAAAAGTTCACTGCCTTTGCAAGGGCAAATAGGAACTACAGAATAATGTATTTTATAATTAATTTGAATGTATAATACTGTAGTAATTTTGCAGGTTAAGGAACTATGTACAACTGGGAATGAAGTGAATTTGAAAAAAAAATGGGATTTGATATTTTGTTTTTGTTTTTTTTTGTTTTAGAAGGAAATGTCACCATGACCTTTGGAGGAAAAAAGGCATTGTGTGTTTCTCTCCTCTAAAGTCAGTGGAAACAGTTGGTGGGGAGTGCAAACCTGTTCAGACCATTTGTGACTTTCATCCCTTACTGTGTGTGTTTTATTAATTGCCAGAACTAATAAGACATTGATTTTGGAGTTTGTGTGACTCACCACAGTTTCTTAAAAATTGGAAATCTGATTTTTTTTTTTTTTAATTTTGAATTCCTACTTTACCATTTTAAATATGTTTTATTGAAGAATTAATGCTCATGAATATTTTTTATTTTGATGTAGTTTGGTTTAGACTTTTTGTATCATTCATTCGTTTAATGTTTATATATGAAAAATAGCAGATTGTACAATAATGAAAATAATGCTTTCTTATTAATCAGTGTGTGGCACAATAACTGTGTGTGTGTACAGTACCATATCATAATGTCAGAACTAGATAAAAGTTTTTCACCCAGTGCTTGGGTTGACAATGGGCCAGGAAGCTTTACAGATAATGTATTTCATGCCCTTCTGCACTACCAAGAGGAAGTGTGTGCTGTACCTCCCCTCTCTGCCAGTGCCTCACCCTCACCCCAGAAAGACAAGACCCTCCTCCTATATAGTGGTCCAGAATTTCCTGTCTTATATAAACCTCAAATACCACAACATGCCTTGCAGCTTGCTAGACAGTCTGAAGTGTTTAAATCAATTGAGGTGTTAATTATGAACCTTTTGTCTTTTCAGTTTTTACTTTCGTTTTTTATTGGAAACCGTGCTCAAACATGTAGTTGCTGAAAACATAGGTTGAGCCTCACAAATCCTGTGCAACATTCCCGTTAGCCTTTAGTTGTTGATAGCCCATTGATATTTTAAACTGTAATCAGTAAAATCTCCATAATTCATTATTATATACATAGTGTACTGTAGTCATTTAAACTATTTTCAGACATTCCTAACCTTAAAGCTGCTCTAATTTTAATTGTCACTTGCCACTACTAGAAGACATGTTTTCACTGATTATATGTAATATCTCACTCATTTTTCTGCAGAGTATTAAAAATTATTTTTATTCAAAATAAACCTACTAGATATTAAGATAGTGAAACCTAAATATATAAGTACACTATTGGTAGCTGGAGTGGTTCGTTCATCATCGACACATATTTTGTACAGCTGTATAGAAGGTTATGTAAGGTACACACATTATTATTCCCTCCAGCACATTTTATTAAAAATTATTAATATATTTTATAGATTATTGCTGTATTTTCAATACAAATGATATACAGTCCATAAATATTTAAAAATAAGTAAGTAATACAGTAATCACTCAGTTATTGGAATCTTAGATCCTCGGAACTCTTCAACGGAAATTGTGGGAAAAATCTTTCCATTCCGGGCATGGGAAAAAATTTCCAAAAGATTCCATCATGTTTCCAAAATTGGGATGCTTGCCAGGCACGTGGGTGGGTAGGCTCAGAGTGCTCAGGATCTACGATTGGCAACTACTGTTATGAGACTGCATGGGATGCCTGTGATTGGCTGATGTACAGTAGACCCTTGTCACTCGCAGGGGTTAGGTACCAAGAAATGGTGCGAATTGGCAAAACCGTGAATAGCAACTTGTACTACCTTATTACACTACTGTATACTTATACCAAACAGCACTCATCTCCTCTTTTGATTTGTCTAATACTAAAACTTTCTTTGTCAGGGTCATCACTGACTTCTGCCTTTTACATTTCACTCCACAAGCATCACGAGCACTGACACATTGCAGTCTTTTCGGGGCCATTTCACATATAAACAAGGTTTGAGAGTACAGCACGAGATGCTGTGTGGGGTGACACGTTGTGCTGCTGGAAAATGCTTTCAAGCTAGCCACCATCTGCTCACCTCGAATTGTCGAAATCGCGAATGGCAAGGGTCTACTGTATCTCGCAGCCATCACTTCAAAATTTTGCATCATGGCACTCTTAGTTCTTTGTCTGCTGCTACTGTACAAGCTTGTTCACTCTCTCACTGCTGTTTTCACATACAAACTGTGTTGTGCAGTACATACTGCTAAGTGTACTTTACCAGCATATAATCATCCAAGAATACTGTTAAACCAGTGTTAAGATGTAAAAAGTGATTACAGTTACATATACTGCACTGTACTGTACTACTGGAAATTCAGTAAGTGAAAGTACCATATACAGTACAGGAATACCCAGGTTATCAAAAAGAATGCATTCCTAAAAGTCACTATGAATATCGGGGCAACTTTCCTCATAAGAATCAATTTAATTAGGGGTTGCTTTCCCAGCTGGCAACTTTCAGAGCATATTTTTCGATATACACACTTGATTATCCGAAGCTATTAGGAACCAGGGTCGCGTGTATACTGTAGGTAGTAGGCAGCTACCAAACGGGGAGGTATTACCACCTGGGAAGATATTGGAAGCATATGTGAGGAGTGCAAGGAAGGTGAACTACTGTAGTATTACCTCACTTAATCCACCTTATTGGCTGTACTATGTCATTGTTAAACTTTAATAATGTATGTATATTTTACAAAAGCAATGGATAAAATGCAGTGAAGCCTGAAAACCTCATCTTACCTACCTTAGTGGCTCAACTAAATTATTGTTGTTAAATGCTAATACTGTACTGGACTGTATACAAAAATTATTGCAAAAAGTACAACTACATGTACAGTATGGTACTGTACATTGAATTGTGAATGACTTTGTCAGCATTGATAATCACAATTGATAAAATTTATCTTAATTCGGAATTTGCTTTAGTTGGGCAAGAACAAAGCCCTATAATTATGAAATATGGAGGTTTTGCTGTACTATTTAGTATGACATGTGTTCTGCAATATGATTGCAACTGGTAGTACTGTTCTTTGTGATTTCATTCTTTGACTTCCCTGGGTCTATTAATAAAAATGTTTTCATTGCACCTTTGGAATAATGGTTAAACTCGATTTCCATTGGAACTATTTCACCGGGAGACCTGTTTTTTCATATTATTTTAGTATTCATAATTATGTTGCGTTATACTAGGTACTTTAGTAAGGACTCACACCCCACAGTATTCTTCTCAAATTTAATGGTTCCCTTTATGCTTTGTCTTCTTACTTCTTCTCCTCATTTGTAATATGTACAGTACAAACAGTTCTCAATAGTACTGTAGTTCTTGTTCTTACATGTGTGTCTTATTCAAACCAAAATGAAAAATTCTCTTGCAAATTTATAATTTTTTTTACGTGGTTAAGTTATTTGAAGTAGAAGATATAATTGGCAGCTTTAATGGTTAAAAGTGAGGGTGCTTGCACCTTACTGCTTTAAGCTCAATGAAAAGCAGTGGTATTGATTAATTGCATTCACTTTTTGCAAATATAAATTACAACTTTATTTCACAGATTGAGGAGAAGATTCGTACCCTGAAGCTGTCTGGGCATGTTGGGTTTGATTCTCTCCCTGATCAGCTGGTGGCTAAGTCAACCCAAAATGGATTCACTTTCAACATTCTCTGTATTGGTATGTTAAGATCTGTTGGTGTACAATTGTAGTTTTTATTGTGAATTGAAATATGAACTACAGGGTAGTTAAGTTACTAATTTCTGGCCAACTATGTATTACTGTATCTCGTATTTTTTAGAAATCGTCTTTTTCAAGGCTTTTCTGTGGTATACATGGATTATAGTGCCAAAGCAGTCATTGTATCAATTGACATGTGAATTGTAGCTTACAAACAGTTTGTTTTGAACTGATGTTTTGATATAACCACAAGTCTCAAACTGGTTTCCAACTGAATTTGTCATGTGATATGTTTTTACCAATCTGAATCAAGTTTGCCAAGCCGGTCATTTTGTTCCCTTGGGCATCACTCTCGTAAGAACATGGATAGTCATATAGAATCTTAATTCCTTAAGAGATCACTTATTGAGCAAGATCACTTCCATACTTCATGATAGTGTAGATTAAGATATTGCTTGACACTCGGGTACTGCCTTATATATAGCAACTACCCCTCCCATGCACAGGCTAGTTGTAACTTTCATGCATGGAAGAGCCACACTTGTTTTCAGCAAGTTTTATATATATATATATATATATATATATATATATATATATATATATATATATATATATATATATATATATATATATATATATATATATATATATATATATATATATATATATATATATATATATATATATATATATATATATATATATATATATATATATATATATATATATATATATATAGTATATATATATATAGATATATATAAAACCAACTACTATACTGTATATTCTACATACAGTACAATTGATTGCTGTTTCACATGAAGCTAAAAAAAAGAAGAAATACAGTACTGTAATTTTGATTATGTAAAGTCATGCATTACAGTTTTAAATACTGTACATCAACTTTTATTTAGCCAACAAACAACCAAGTAAGGTCTGTAAGGTAGATAAAAAAACCCTGACATTTTACTCTTTGTATTGGTGAAATTTAAGACACCAATTCCCCCATTAACCTCGTTGAAAAAATAAAAGAAAAAACTAAAGAAAATATGTATGAAAATGATATATGTATAACAATTAAAAAAAATCGGTACGAAGGGACTCAGCGCCTGACTGTGGTAACAGCTGGCTGTGTAAGTGACCATCGTGGGCGCCATATTTATTTGTTATTGTTCGGTGGTTGGTTGTTGCTCTTCCAACATTCACTTAAAATCCAATTATAAATTTATTTGAGCCTGAGAACAATGAGTGCTAAACGTGCATTTTGTACCACTACTGGTTGTGGTCACAGAAAGAAGAGGAAAAGTGTTACATTAGAAGTTAAATTAGATGTGGTAAAGAGATTTGAAGAAGGACAGTGAGCTGTGGACATAGCAAGAGCTGTCGGTTTGTAATCAACTGTAGGTAAGAACAATTTGTGGAAATGGAGAAAATATTGAATCATGTTCTGAAAGTCTTACCGGTACTCATTATCTGCTGCAAAGTTAATTTGTCACAAGTGGCATTATGGAAAATATGGAAAGACTGCTAAACATGTGGATCGAGGATCAACATTAACGAAACTCTCATATACAGGCAAAAGCTCTATGTTTATTTGAAACTTTAAAACAAGAAGGTGATGGTGCTGAAAGTGAAACATTTGTGGCAAGTAGTGAGAAAATTGTGACCAGAAATGTACCCAAGGAACATAACCCCTTTATATCATTGTGTCTGGTAAAATCGTTTTCACTTAAAATTGTTTCACGTAAGGTCGTGGTTTTCAGGAACCTAACAATGATTTTAATGGAGGAATTGGTGTATAGGTATGAGTACCTGTATAGTACTGTAATAATAAGCTGGTAAAGAGATAAAAACGGAATTCCAGAATCTAGAATTTTTCCAAAATTATTCACTCTTTAGTTTTTGCCATTGCATATATCGTAATAGAAACAATAAACACTCGTATAGACACCCCACAAAATACAAGGGATTCAGTAAACGAGGCAGCTGCAGAGAATGGAGAGAGGCCAAAGTCCTCCCAAGCCCAGAGACATTACCGAGGACAAATTCCGGCTTGAAAGTCATGTATTGTACACTCATACTGACATGTTCCTTGATAAGAGAGCAGAGTTTGAAATGCTGGTCAAGTTGCATCAACCCATTATTGTAGCACTGTACAGTATATGGTCTGATAATGCATTGAATGTTTGGATTAACAAGTAATTCACTGTTGTATTTCATAAGATTTTGATTGAATCAAAGATTTGCTGCTTTTGCAGGTGAGACTGGTATGGGAAAGTCCACACTTATGGACACACTTTTCAACACAAGTTTTGAATCTAATCCAGCACCACACACCCTCCCAGCTGTCAAGCTCAAGTCTCACACTTATGAGCTTCAGGAGTCTAATGTCAGGCTCAAGGTAATTATATTTAATTTTGTATTCCTACTGTACAGGCCCCCCCCCCAAATTCACAGGGATTAGGTTCTCAAAATGGTTGCGAATAGCATTTGCTGACGGGGGAGGGGGGGGGGGTCATTTTTATTTGTGTACAAATAAATGTGTATTCCCTTTGTGTTTTCCCTTAGGATAATTATTTCTTTTGTGTGTGTGTGTCAACTGATATTAGAAGTTTGAAATTATTTGTAATAGCATTTAGGAAAATAAAAAGAAGTCAGTGTTGTAATCATATCTAATCTGCTTCGCTCCCCCATTTGGTTGAGATTGAAAGATGGCCATGGACAACCTGAAATTACTTTCCTCCATCCATATGTACAGTGGTCCCTCGGTTAACGAACACAATCCGTTCCAGCAGGTTGTTCGTTAACCGAAACCATTGTTTCAATGGGTTTTTGGGTAATTGGTTCCAGCTCACCGAAAATTGCCTAAATTCAACAAAAATGGTAGAAAAGTTCACTTACTTTGAGGTGTGTATGTAGAAGGCTCCTGGATGATGATGATGATGATGATGATGATGATGGGAATTTGAATGGGGGTGGAGGAGAAGGAAGAAGAGAAGGCTTTGGGGTGGAAGAGAAGTCACCCCATGGTGCCATTTCACCCATAAAATTTTAGCTCTCTTGGTGTAATTCAAGATTATTTTCTTTAAATCAACACTGCACTGCATTATATATTGTCAATATGTAAAATATATTTCAAAATGACCAATAATTTGCTTGGAAACACAGAAAAAAAGCGTTTAGTTGAAGAGAGTCTCAAGCAAGATGTTACCTCCAGTGAAAACAGAGAGAGACTAACGCCTGTTTGCTGTGTTAAGAGGCTGGATGCCGCGCATTAAACTAGTCACTTTACCTTCAATTATGTTCAATAATTGTTAAAATGACTAAAAAATTGAATATTAAACTTTTAAAATTATTGAATAGTATAAGCTTCTTGATATTTACTAAAATAGTAAGGAATTTAAGCCCTAGAACCGATTAATGTATTGGCGGACTAATACTAAAGCTGGTTGACCGGCCAGTGCAAGCGAAAACATGTTGAGGTCGGTTCGTAAGAAATTCGTGAACCGAATTTTTGTTCGTTAACCGAATTTAAGAATCTTATGGGAGGCAGTTCGTTAACCGAAATTTCGTTAACCGAGGCATTCGTTAACCGAGGGACCACTGTAATCAAAAGAAAATATTCAGTGTTAAAATGGGTATTTATTTATTTACAGTAAAACCTCGATAAATCAGACTTCAATACTCCTGTACAGTATATCGGAATTAACTTTTTTCGGACTCTTGAGATGCTCTGGTCACCAAAAATACGATTAAGAAAAAAAAGTTTTAGGAAATGAAGATTAAATACAAAAATATTATGAAATGAACAACACTTAGTGAATACTGTACAGTGGTCTGATCAGATTTCCTATAGGTCTATTGAGAACTAAGACACTAGGTTGGGGCTGATCAGGTGTTGTGGCATTTGTCAATATATTTATTGATTCAGTATTATATTATCATATAATTGGCATCTTATGGTTTATGCTGTATCATCATTAATATAACATCGTCAGTAATAGAGAAAAATGCAATACTGTTTGTAATATGAATTGAAAATAAAAGGATAAGCTGTATCAGAAGGTTGTTTACTCAAGATGCGTACGTGTGAGAGCTTTCAGAAAACGACCAGCTTACAACAGGGATCACTATACTACACTGTATAGTATTTGATATGAAGATACCTTCTTAAAAACGTTATTTACTACCTTTGAGTGTTATACAGGTTGTACCTCTCTTGTCCGGCAACCTCGGGACCTGACCGGTGCTGGACCATGGAAATTTCCGGACCATGGAAATTCACCCTTTTCCTGGATAGATAGTGACTTGTGCATACATTTGGAAGCACTAGCACCACTTTCACTGCTTCGTGGTCTCTTTGAAGACATATTGAAGGGTTAAATGTTGTACAGTATGTTCTCAAATTTTGCAAATTTTTAATTCAACGTTTTTTATTTGGATACAAAAAAAAACACTACACAATTTAAAATTTCGACGGCGGAAACTCGAATTTTGACGGGTTTGAGCGGCCCACCAACGTTCAGACGCGCACAATTGTGTAAAAAGCGTCATTTCTCTATGTACAAAAGATTCATTATTGTTTATTACTGAATGTCTTTTTGATTGAATTAATGTTTATGTGTGCAAAATGAACAATACAATTCATTAATAATACGTAGAATATTAAAACACACGAGGAGACGAGACAGCATTGTTTTCGCTGTTTACAAAACCAGTGACTGATTGGTTCTACATATATAACTGAAGAAAATAAGACCCTGGTTGTAGCTGCAGTAAAATTAATGTAAAAAATTAATATGGTTGTTTTAAGTAATGTTATTTAATGTTAATAAATGGAACAATGGAAGTAGCTAACCATTAATGGTAAATAAAAAAGTATGTAAGTGCGCAAATGTGAAAACATATCGTCATTACTCTACATAAGAATGTGAAAGCAACACTTATTTACTGTTCATATATATTTTAATTAATGTTTCTGAATTAAAAAAAAAATTCTACCCACCAGTGGTGGTAAAGTTGAAAACATAAAGACAGCCAATGTTGTTGTGTGTTTTTACTCAGATGACGAAGTTGCCAAGTCATCAGGTTCAACTCTAGCTAAAGCTGTAGAACATAAGAACTTTTCTGTGTTGTTTTCAGTTTTTATTTAACTTTATCTGTGTTATTTTCGTTGGTTTATTAGGATGTTGCTTTATTACAGGTAGTAATTCGCCAAAAAAGTAGGGTAAATAAGGCCAAATTTAGCCAAACATCGAAAGTACCAGACTCAAATTAATTTTCTCTATGGGCAAACTAAAATCGTTCCGGACCAATTGGAGTTTTCGGACCACAGAATGCCGGACTAGAGAGGTACAACCTGTATGATGACTCAGTTTGGCTACTTGTACATCTAGACAAATTATTAATGAACAAACCAGGTGTATATGCAGATACATAATACTTTACACCACAATATTACTTAAGTGATGATAAATACACAACTGTACTGTACTAGTTTACTAAGTGTTGAAGACAGACATTGTGGTAAGCTAATCAGCTGTTTGATCTTTGTAAACAAATGAGTATGAAATGACTCATGGTGCTCAGTGTGAGATTTTTTTTCAGGAAAGCTGATTCTTTTAGGATAATATTTTATCAACCTGGCACCAAATGATCCTAAATTATATGAGAATTGTGGTGGAATTGCATAAAGAAGTGTTAAAGGAATCATGTGGGAGAGAGGGGGAAGGAGCCAACCCCCCCCCTCCTTCCCCTCTGCCAGCTGCTCCCAGATAAACATTCGTCTTCCACGTACAATATACTCCTACACTTATTTGTTCTTATTTTTATCTTTATAGTGCTGTACTGTATACAGTTTTCTCTTTATTCATGCGACAAATTCTGTGGTTACTTACATATAACACTTTACAGTAAATAAGAATCATCTCGGTGACAACAATTATTGACAACCAGACTTATATGTCTAATTTTCAACCCAGAGAGTTCGGTTTCATATTTATTTTATTGTTGATGTAATATTCTCATAATAACATTGTTATACACTTCAAGACCTAAGTTGTTTAAGTGCAGTAATAACATAACAACAACTGATTTTCTTTAAACAGTTCAGATAAGCTGTGTTATCTCCACACCCCCCCCCCCTCGCGCCCCATATACTGTACTGTATTCGCTTTTTTCGGACTGGGGTCTGCCCCCCATTAGTCCGATTTATCGAGGTTCTACTGTATATATTTTTTGCTTTTTAGAATCATAGCTTATAAAGTACTGTGATGAGTATAGAAATACAGTACAGTACTGTATGCAGAGTGATGCATTCTCTTAATAATATTTTGATATTCTATATCTAATATGGATATTCCTTTTTACAGCTGACTATTGTTGACACTGTAGGTTATGGAGACCAGATTAACAAAGGTGATAGCTTCACAGCAATTGTTGACTATATTGACAAGCAGTTTGATGACTATCTGCAGGAAGAACTGAAGATTAAGCGTAGCCTTTCTGCCTATCATGATTCCAGAATCCATGCCTGCCTTTACTTCATCTGCCCCACTGGCCATGGGTAAGGGGATGGGTATTCAATTTATTCTCACTGGTGTCTTAAAAATTTCTTCAAATTTCAGGAAAATAGACCTTGGTCCCTTTTGTCATGACATAACTGAAAAACAAGTACTACTTAGAAAGTATTTTGGGGTAATGCCTGAATGTAGAAAATGACTGTATAATGATATACTGTACATAAGGGTCACTTGTATTACAGAAGTTTTATTTAGATTATATTGTTTGTGCCTGTTTCATCTGCTTGTGATTTTGAATGTTAGAGTTAGTGCATATGAGGTGGATGTTCGCCCCTGATGTATAAAATAATAAAATTCTTGTGTTTGTGTCCTGTAGTTTTCACTTTGTATTTTTAATCATTTTACCATGGGAAGGCATGGAAGTAATAAGTATATGAAACGTTTGTACAAAGTTATACATTATACTGGAGGGGACCCTAAGAGGGATGAATCATCAGAGGATACAGATGAATACTGTAGATAGATATTGCACAAGTTATTCACTTTTCTTGACTCATATTTTGCATGTCTCTTCCTTGGTACTGGTAAGTTTTGTATTTATATGAAAAACTAAAAAGAAAATTCTTTGTGAAGGCTTCATGTGCTCCATTTTTATTTTATTTCTCCAATCTCGGTTTACGTACTTGCATTGTAATCCATATTCAACAATTTCCAAGGATATCTGAAATCATTCACAACTTAAAGCTGTTTAATATTCATATTACCATTACAGTACAACTGCCCCATTCTTCAAATACTAGCATTAGCTTTATATCCTCATTGTTTACACTGTACACACATCAAAAATGTATCTTTGCACATTAGGTCCAATGATTTCCTAAATAATGGATACACCTATACAGCAACGTAACCACTGACATGAACTACGCTATACATTGTTCACAAGATTAATCTGTTTTCTTCTGAATGTGCACACAATATCAATACTGTACTTACTATGGTTAAACTGGTAAATGTATCTAACAAGCGATATATGACATTTTACAATATCCATTGTCTTTAGTTTCAGATTGTTTCATATAACATGTGCGCAGAAACTTTTTTGATCGTGTGTACACTTACCAAACAGTTTGCTTTTTTTCCTTATGTATCTGAATCTCTTTACAAGGCAGTAATGTTTGCTTTTGACACTCGGAATCCCCTGAATTTATTTCATGAGCCTGTCACTCGCTCTGTTTGGAGTCCGCAGAAGGACCAGAAATTGTGGAGAAGATATTTTTTTTCTGAGCGCTATTTGTGGCCAAGATACCTGTAGTGTCAAATTTTTTATTCAAATGATGCCTTCCTATTTAAAAAAGGCTGGGAAATAATATGAAACCCTCATAAATGAAATAAAATAATAAATATAAACCACTTTGGTGAGTTTAAGTGAAAAAGTGCTGCATCCACATCATTGCATCCGTCATTATTAAATGCACATGGCAAGAGAGAGTAAACCATGAGGAGGACAGTGGTGTAATCAGAATAAAGATTATGTAAAAGTAATGGAGTTCAGAATAAAAAGTAAAAAGTGGTGGTTAAGCTCGCAGTCGCTGAAATGTTCATACTACACCTTTTGAATCTTTCAAAAGTATTTTTATATGACGGATTATCCATGTACACATACTAAGGAACAGAAATAGACCAGTTAGAAGTTTTGTAAAAAAAATAAAAATAAATTTTGGCAATAACATTTCCACTTATCACTCAAAGTAGGCCTTGGCATATGCATGACAGTGGCGATGCCCTTAGGAATACGTATCAAATAAGCACTATATATTCATTTTAATTCACAATATGCATGCCTCTACTGCACTACATATCACTGTCACTTATTATTTTCCCAAACTAGGCCTAAATATTACGACATGCTTTTTGTGTGATGTATATGCGACTGTATTGTGAGTAGCCATTTCACTTATCACTTCATAACAATAAACACCGAGGTTGTAACTAATAATTACATGGAGATAATATCCACTTGGCCACGTGACCATAGCACCGTCTCGCAAATTATAAATTTTTTTTTTTTAAATTTCATTATAAATATTTCAATACTGTACATAGCACTTTATCACTTCATAAGATTAAATATTGAGGTTGTAAGTAATAAATATTTGGAAATGCTGGTGCCATTTTTAAATCACACCCAGCCCACACACTTCTTGCTTACTGAGTCAGACGCAAAACTAGTGTTAGTCTGGAGGCCATGTGATCCACTGCACGTAGGAGGCGGGTTGCCACCTAGCCTTAAAACTTGGTTCCATGCAGGAGAGTGACATGAAGAATGTGTCATTTAATTTGAAGTACAGTAATTTGACCAGGAACTTATAGAGAAAATAACTATGTGCCATGGTAATGTGTCTGATCATGAAGTAAAACTTTCATTTAAATTAAATCAAAATGTCACTTAGGAAGGAATGATCCCGAATGTTAATACAGTGGTCCCTCGGTTAACGAACACAATTCGTTCCTCAGGGTCGTTCATTAACCGAATCTATTATTTCAATGGGATATTGGGTAATTGGTTCCAACTCACAAAAAAAGTACATAGGGTACAAAGTGCTGTACAGTGGTCCCTCGGTTAACGAGCACAATCCGTTCCAGCAGGTTGCTCGTTAACCGAAACCATTGTTTCAATGGATTTTTGGGTAATTGGTTCCAGCTCACCGAAAATTGCCTAAATTCAACAAAAAAGGTAGAAAAGTACACTTACTTTGAGGTGTGTATGTAGAAGGCTCCTGGATGATGATGATGATAATGATGATGATGGGAATTAGAATGGGGGTGGAGGAGAAGGAAGAAGAGAAGGCATTGGGGTGGAAGAGAAGTCACCCCATGGCACCATTTCACCCATAAAATTTTAGTTCTCTTGGTGTATTTCAAGATTATTTTCTTTAAATCAACACTGCACTGCATTATATATTGTCAATATATAAAATATATTTCAAAATGACCAATAATTTGCTTGGAAACACAGAAAAAAGCATTTAGTTGAAGAGAGTCTCAAGCAAGATGTTACCTCCACTGAAAACAGAGAGAGACTAACGCCTGTCTGGTGTGTTAACAGGCTGGATGGCACGCCAGAAACTAGTTTCTTTACCTTCAATTATGTTCAATAATTGTTAAAATGACTAAAAAAGTTAATATTAAACTTTTAAAATTATTGAATAGTATAAACTTCTTGATATTTACTAAAATAGTAAGGAATTTAAGCCCTAAGACCGATTACTGTATTGGCGGACTAATACTACAGCTGGTGGACCGCCAAATGCAAGCGAAAACATGTTGAAGTCGGCTCGTAAAAAACTCGTTAATCGAGGGATTGCTCGTTAACCGAAGTTAAGAATCTTATGGAAGGTAAATCGTTAACCGAAATCTCGTTAACCGAGGGACCACTGTATACCAGTAATAGAAGTAACAAAACATTAAATATAAATTAAATACAGTACTGTACTGTACAGTATACTGTACAATAATAAATAAAAAACAATAGAATACTGCATTTTAACTTACTTTGAGGTGTGTATGTCGAATTACCGGCAGCTTGTTTATATATTAAGCAACTGATTGTAGAGGCAGTGGATGATGACATGCCATATTCTTTATAGAGTGCATTAGTTCTAATGCCTTCTTCATGTTTCATAATAATTTCTGCACTGTATATTATCAATATGTTAACTAAATTTCAGAATGACCAATAATTTTTATGTAAAAATGCAAAAATATTCAAGAGAGCAACAAAATCGATCTTCACTCCACTGTAAACAAAGTTAAACTGAGAAGCGTTGGGTGATTCAATCAGCTGATGGGTGCACAAAAACTGTTCCCTGTACTGTCTGTACAGTATTATCAATATGTTAACTAAATTTCAGATTGGCCAATAATTTTAATCTAAAAAATGCAGAAATATTCAAGAGACTAATTTTCTTGATATTTACTTCACTAGAAACGAATGTAAACATAGAACCAATTACAGTGGGGCATGCTATAACGAATCTAATTGGTTCTAGAACCTTGTTCGTTATAGCATTCGTTCGTTATAGGATTAATCCGTTCCAGGCCCCCAAATACAACCACTTAACACTGAAAAATATAATAAAATCGTAAAAATTGTAAAAAAGTGCATAAATATGCATCTAAACCCCTGAAATAAAGAATATCATTAATACTTGTAATAAAAAACAATAAATTATTTAAAAAAAAATAAAAAATTTAAATAATGTTCGTTGTAGGAGTTTCGTTCGTTATAGCATTCTCAATTTTATAGGTAAAACCGTTCGTTATAGGAATATTCGTAGTAGGATCCGTTCGTTATAGCATACCCCACTGTACAGTAATGTATTGGCGGACTAGCCGATCAGCTGATCAGCTGATGTGCACAACAAAACGTGTTTGTCGTAAGGATTTCGGTAATCGAAGTTATTTTTGTTAATCGAATTGAAAATCCTTATGGGAGCTAATTCGTTAACCAAAATTTCGTTAATCAAACCGTTCGTTAACCGAGGGACCACTGTATATGGATTGTGATCCATAGCCCCGCTATGTCTGTAAAATTATTAATTAACCAAAATTACTTCACACTATTCTACAGTCTTTATGTACACTACTTTTTTTTTGTAAGTAACAACATTTATACTTATTAAGGTGCGTCTTCCATGTGTTCTTTTAAAGGTAATGTAAATCTTACTTTAAACTTCATGTGTACTTTATGTTCCTTGTTTATTACTTGGTCTGTTTATCCATTTACATTGTCCTGTACATAATTAACTTTACTTTTCATTCAATCCTTCTGATGCTTCTTCCTGTTGTCTCCAAGCTGAGGTTTATGAGTATAGGAGAGTAGGAAGGAAAAACAAGATGCGGGAACAGTGGAGTGAGTGCCAGGCATTGGTAGTCAGGGAGAAGAGAGGAAATATGAGTGTTTGTTGTAAATACACAATGAAGAAGAATGGTATGAATATTGAGAAATGAAAGGGCAAATGAAGAAAACAGCGAGAGAGAGAGTGTGTGTGTTTTTTTATTCATAAGAGCATTGCTTTTGGAGGTAGGGATAGGGGCATCTGATAGAAACATTGTGGGTGCAAAAACTGGCTTAATAATGACTTGGTATATACAATATTAGTATTTAAACACTTTGAACATTGTAATCAAAAGTTATTGTACTATTTGCAGTTTAAAAAGTATTATTATTTTTTTCTGTACAAGGTTTACTTTTAATATTTCAATATTGCAGACTCAAGAGTATTGACCTGGTTTGCATGAAGAAACTGGACTCAAAAGTAAATGTGATACCTGTCATTGCCAAAGCTGATACTATCTCAAAGTCAGAGCTGACAAAGTTCAAGCAGCGCATTATACAGGAGATAAAGGCCAATAATATCCAGATTTACCAGTTTCCCACTGATGATGATACCATGGTCAAGGTAAGATGGGATTGAGCTTTTTAATCCCTTTTTTCCTATTCCTCTTTCTACAATATTTTACAGTGACTAGAACCAATAATAAACATATATTCCCTATCAGTTGCCCTAAACTCAGGCAGCTCTCATATTGTGGATTGCTTATTTTTTTTTCCGGGTACTGAAAAAATTTCCTGAGAATTTCCAAAAAATGCGCCTTAGTTTCATCTCTCATACCCGGAAAAAACTCCCCCATCCCTGGAATTTTGCGGGTACTGGGAAAATTTCTTATTTTTCCAGAAAATGTGCCCCTGGGAAAATTCCAATTCTGGCTATCGGAGTGTTCCGGTTAACCCTCTCAGCCTCACAATGGCGTCGAACATAAAAGGCGAAAAAACTTAGGCTCAGCCTCGCGACGCCTACGTGGCGTCCAATGGGCTATATTTTCAAATAACTCAAAACTGTTCAGTGAAACTGACTGAACTTTGGAAGCCATTTGACAGACATCATTTTCTTTGTGTGGGCCTTATCACCTTCCCCAAGACGGTCTTGATCATCGTGTGTGTGGCGGCGCAGCATGAAGCCAGTGTCGCTCTGGCCATTAGAGCGAGAGGAGGGTGCGCCTCTTGGCCCTTTAATTATTCCATGAGTTTTTGTGTTACAGTATATTATTTTTCCTTTTACCACTATATTCTACATGCTTTGTTCTTTATTTTGGTTTATAGTACATATCAATGAACACCATAATACAAGGAAAATGAGAATGGAAATTAAGATGTTACAAAAATTTTTCCTACTTTTTTTTATACTAAAAAAAAGTAGCTTAAATTTCAAGAATGTTCAATTTTTTATGGTTTCATACAATTTTTCAGAAAATTTTTCACTAGAAAACACCCCATTACAATTAATAAAACAATTCCATGGCAGTGAAATGAGCCCTAAAAAAATATATAAATTTTTTTCAACGATTTTTCGGCAAAAAGCTCCGAGGCTGAGCACAAGTTTCCATGCACGTATGTGTCTCAGGCTCCGAGGGTTAAGAGGGATTCCGGCTAACGGAGATATTACTGTACACTCACTCACTCACTCACTCACTCACTCAATCATACTGAGTCCAGGTGTCAAGAACTGGAGGACCTGGCCAATAGGTGCTGTCTTGTTAAGTCATAATTAAATTTTGGATTCCTTCTAATTTTTTATTGAATTTTAAATACTGTATTAAATCTGGAACATAACCCACTGTTTACAGAAAGGTAATCTAAATGAGCTATTCTTGGAGCACGTTTCACATTTTTATTGAGGGAAAGGTGTATTGAGTTCCATTGATACAAACCTAGATAGATACCAGGCTGTCTCAAAGAGACAGTTTTATAATTGTTTTTATTATGTAACTAATAAAAAAGGCCACTAGTAATGCATTGTTTTTATTATATTTTAGATCAACACTGAGATGAACAACCAGATTCCATTTGCAGTTGTTGGAAGCACTGACTTTGTGAGAGTAGGTAACAAGATGTTGAGAGCCCGTCAGTATCCTTGGGGCACTGTGCAGGGTAAGTGTAGTTGAATGGGTACCTTTTGGAACATTTGTGTTTAATACTTGAGCAATATGGGTATGTAACTCTAAACAAAAGCAATGCCCTGGCCTGAATGAATGTTATTTTACCAATCAAATGTGTATGGTCCAGCTTCAATTATTACATCAAATACAGGGGGTCCCCAACTTACTAACATCCGCCAATACGAACGAGGTCCCAAAAGGTAGATTATATATTAAAAAAAATCCGACATAAGTACAACTGGTTTGTAGTAGTTACATATGAGAACTAGTTTGTGCGGTGTAGAGGGAAGGCAAAGCAGCGCGTGAGAGTGATGCGTCGTACCTAGTCACGCACTACAGTACACTCCTTATTATTTTCCAACTCTACTGTATTATATGTGGTCACAACATCCTCTTTACCAAATATATGACCTATTCCCAAATCATCAAACTCTTCTCTTCTCTTTGTCATTGCCCTGGTCACAACGCAAGCTGGCTACTCAATTTCATTATACTGTATATCACCAACAGGTTTACACTTCTTTGAATCATCCAACACATCTTCATTTTTCACAACATGGTTCATCTCTACAGTAGCCTTTTCATCAAATGGATTTTCACACATAATAGGCTCTGGGACCACGTTGTCGCCAGCCAAATCATTACCAAATAACATCTGTACTCCAGGTACGGGAAGTTCAACACTTACCCCAACTTTTACAATGCCACTCACAAATCCACTCTCAAGATTTACATTATGTAATGGGACAGTCATCCCCGACCCTAATCCTCTTAAATTCACTTCTTCACCAGAGTAAAACTCATCTGTCCACTCTAATACATTTTTCAAAATCACACTCTGATTTGCTCCAGTATCTCTCAATATTATAATTTTCTTCTCAGGACTACCTTTAATCCCAACCTTTCCTTCAGTAATAAATGACTCAAAATTCACAGATTTTGGCTTACTCACTGTACTCGTTACCTCTTACATTACAAATATTCCGCGGCCTTCCTGCAACAGTTAATGCCGCAGACTTTGGGCCACTCTGACACCGATATTTAGCATGGTCAATTTCTCCACGTGCAAAGCATTTTATATGTGGTCTCTCCTGTCTACTAACACAAGGGTTATAATTGGACTGATATCTTGGATGTTTATATTGTGTTTGTCCTTGTGATCTATTCCCGACAGTATTTTGTGACACCTGGTTAGGTGGACCTCCCTTAGAATAATTTGGACTAGGCTGCTTAACATCTGAATAGTTCTGATACATATGATTTTTGTCATAATTCTGGCTTCTATTATGCTTTATTTCACCTTGTTTAGTGACACCTTCTCCTTATACATTTTGTGTGCCACTGCTAACTGGTCAGCCAACCTAGCCGCATTCATCAAATTCTTCACTCTATTCTTACTTATTTCATACTTAATCTCAGGGTGCACAAGACTTTTTAAATGTTCCAACAGGACTAACTGTCTTATGTCATCCACAGTCTTTACTTCCTCAGACTTACACCATCTATCAAATCTCATCCCACATTCTCTAGCCACTTCAAGATGAGTTTGTCCACTCATTTTCTTAATGTCACTAAACCTTGTCCTGTACACTTCTGGCTCCATTTCCACCGTCGTCAACACTGCTTCTTTAACAGTCATAATCCACAGACTCTGACATACTCAGACACACATATGCCTTTCTGGCCTTGCCCTTAAATTTACTCTGCACCAATATTGCCCAGTCACTTTTGTCCAATTCTTTAATAGTTGCAAGTTTTTCAAACTGAATAAAGATGTCCTCAGTTTCTTCTTCCACAAACTCAGGTAAATGGCATACTCTATTATCTTTATCTCCATTTCCTCTCCTGTACTTCTAATTTCCTGAGTTCTACCTCTTATTCTGCCTGTAGTTGCATTTTCTTAAATTCAAATTCTAATTTTAACTTTTCCATTGCCACTTGTTCACTTATCTGTTTATAACCACCACTAAAATTAACAACACCTTCAACTTCCTCCAATATTGACAAAGACACCAATTCATCAATTAACTCTCTCTGCATATCACTTTTGATATACGACCTCAGAGAAATTTCATACCTAGATGCCACCTCAATTAGTTCCTCCTTATTACACTGGTATAAAAAGTGAACATCATTGGTTTCCTGAAATTTATCAACATTTTCTGCCATTTTTCCAATTTTTTCACAGTAATCACCTAACCTCACAATTTTTATACAAGTATTAACACTTACAGTACTTGTTTACAGAAATCTTCACCAGCACACCACACGAGAGCACAGTAACTAACCTTCAAACACTTCGGTACAGCTTGGATACACTGGGACAATCAGTATACTTGACTCAGTCCACTCCCGGACACAGGCCCCCATGTTACAACCTCCACACCCTCTTCTAGGACTAACTAGAGGATGTATAGTCAGCCCATAGGCCCATTATATCAGAGAAAACTCTGAAATAACAGCTTCTGTTAATAGAGAGGTTAATTGTTAAACACAGACCCTTACCCTATTTCTGGCTAACAACCTCCTGACAGGTGTTTATTTTAATACCGCTGTTCCCATTAAAACTGGTTTAATCAAAACAGCTTTAAAATTACAACAAAATATATTTAACAACAAAATATATTTAACAACAAAATATAATAAATATGTGCTCTCCATCCATGTGCATACAAAATGTCACAAATCAATTTACTCAGAATAATGTTATCTCCACCAAATGCAGTGTTCTCTCACTACTACAATACTCTTCAGACTATAATGAACATATTACACTTAAGTTAACACCATAATTATCCATGATTACCCAGATAATAATAGATAAATGTGTACCACACAAGCTTGACCCTTCCATCCTCCTCAACCTAGCTACCGAGAGTGCCGCTAAAACCAAAACAATGTTCCAATACTTTCTTGTTTCATCAACACATAATTTCTAATTCTTTTTATACTTCACACCTGCTTCTTACAGTCTTTCATAACAGTATAAAAAATAAAAATATTCTACAAAGTTTACATAATGAAACAAATACTATTATACATCCTTTTATAGAATAATCAAGACATTTTTTTTAAGTCTTTACCATAAACTTGGAATTTTGATTCTAAAGAAAAACGGGAAACAACAGAAACTAAATACAATGGGTAACTGAAACAAGAATTGAGGGAAAGGGGAGATGACCGCAACAGGAGAGAGAGATGGAGCGTATCAAGTTATGAAACTACTGTATCTCCTTCTGTTACTCCTCTTTCATTACTTCTAGGAATTGTTGTAAGGCTATTATTCTTTGTAGGGCCAAGTGGAATTTTATAAAAAGAAGACCACTGACCTGACGAACTCTTCTTCCAGTTAATCCTTCTGGTCCTTTACCAAAAACATTGTAATAACTTCTGCATTCCCTCTTTTCATCCACTTTTCCTAGCTGATAACTGTAGCCAACTCTCCCTCTGATCAAGCCAATCTCTTTGGCACCTTATTCTCCTCTAACTCCACCTTAGACAAGTCCAACTCTACCCTTCCTTCTCTCGCTTCTACAGAACCTATGCACTTTGCTGTGATCTCCACTCGTAGGATTGCTTGCTCGCCTCTTTCGCCTTTGCCTCAAAATTCAAACTTTTCCTTCTTCTTGGAAGCATGCCTTGGTTCAGCCATCCCAGAGAAAGGTGACCATTCTAATTCCTCTAACTATCACCCCATTTCCCTAACTTCATCTCTCTCTAAGATTTTCAAAACTATCTTAAACTCATTTTCTCAGTCGCCTTGAATGCCTTTCTCTTTTGTCGGATCACTAGTATTGCTTTTGCCAGGCGAGATCTACTGGTGATCTCCTCTCCTACTGCACCCATCTTTGGTCATCCTCTCTTGGGGATTATTGGGAAACTTTCATCATGGCCCTCGACTTCTCCAAAGCTGTTGACAGGGTATGGCATAAGTCTTTGCTTTCAAAACTTCCCTCTTATGGTTTCTCTCCCCCACTTTGTTCTCCAATTTCTAGCTTTCTTGAGAACCGATCCATGGCAGTTGTTGTCGAGGGATCTGTCTCTCGCTCTATCTCTACCAATACAGCTCCTCCCCAACTTACGACGGGGTTAGGGACCCAAATCCAGGTCGTAAGTCGAAGTGGTCGGAAGTCGAAAATGCTTAAATAATACATAGAAAATCTAAAATGGGTGTCTCTTTTTCTTCTCAGCACCACAAAACTCTCACTTTTAAGCTTGCCAACCATTTTAAAGTGAATTACAACGAAAAATTTTTCAGTACACAGCGCAATCACTGACGCTGGAACTCGAAAATACGTAATTTGACATAATTTTGGTACGACTGAGGCGGTCGTATGTCCGGGTGGTCGTAAGTCGGGGAGGAGCTGTAGTGGTGTCCCACAGGGTTCTGTTCTTTCACCTACTGTCTTCCTTCTTTTTATCAATGATTTACTTCACACTACTACTAATTCTATCCATTCTTACGCTGATGATTCTACTCTTCACTCTACTCATTTTTCCCTTCCCCTAACTCTCAGACTACATCTGTTTCTAGAATTGATAGTTTCATTTATCAATACAGATCTGTGCAGCATCTTCGAATGGGGAGGTAGAAACTTGATTAAATTCAATAGTAATAAAACACAGTATTTACCAATTGCACTTTCCAAAATAGAAAACCACCTTCCAATCACATTTCAGGTTTCAATCATTTTGCCAAATTAAATAGATATGCTAGGCCTTGCCACTCCCTCTAATTTGTCATGGAAGCCACACATCCACAACATTGCTAAAGCTGGCTCCCAAAAGCTAGGAATGCTGTTAAGATGCCATAGCTATTTCACTCCTGAGCAGCTGCTTCAAGTTTATAAGGGAATCATTCATCCTAACTTGGAGTACTGCTCTCATATCTGGGGTGGCTCTTCTTCTGTCTAACTGTTAAGACAGGGTGGAATCAAAGGCATTTCGTCTTATTAACTCTCCTCCTTCAGTCGATAATCTCTCTTCACTTTCTCTTCGTTACATTGTTGCTTCACTCTCTCTTTTACAGGTACTTTAACGGGCAATGTTCAGTGGATTTGGCATCCTGTGTACCGCTGGCAAGGCAGTGGACTCATTACACTTGTCTTGCCCGCAGTGCCCACCATTTCTGTGTGGATGTTGGTCACACTGGAATAACCCGTTATAGTACATCCTTCTATCCTCACACAGCCAAACTGTGGAATGCTCTGCCTACTTCTTTGTTTCCATACTCATACAATCTTTCTTGCTTCAAAAACCTGGTTTTCTGGCATCTTCGTGGTGTAAATTAATATACTGTACCCTATAGTCTTTTTCTCTTCTATTTTTAATTTCTCCCCCTCCCGTCCCTTTTGTGGGGCGATGACTTGTGTCTGGGTGGGCTATTCTCCGTAAAAAAAAAATATTTATAAATTGTATAATATAAAACTAGATTGGGAGCCACTGATGTACAGTATTGTTTTGAATTGTGCAACTAATTAAAAAGAAAATTATCCACCTTTTCTTCATGACTTATAGGATGATGTACAATTTAAGAGTGCTATGCATACAGTACCATCATAGGGTCTTTGCAGTGAAATGTTCAAAGACTTAAAGGAAGATTGCCTAGAAATTGCATGGGTAAAATTTCATTTGCTTTATATTTCAGTTGAAAATGAAAGTCACTGTGACTTTACCAAGCTTAGAGAGATGTTGATTCGAACCAATATGGAGGATATGCGAGAGGTAACACATCAGCGTCATTATGAGCTGTACCGGAAGAAGATCCTTGAAACGGTATGGAATTTAGTTTTTGTTTTGGACTCTAGAAACAATTTTGGAGGAGGAGGTCAGGACTGACAGAAATTATGTGCTTAAGAGTAACATGTGTAGTGAATAGGATGCAAAGAATAATAAGCAGGGATAGGGTGGAGATGTGGAGGTTAATGGAGTGTCAAACAGAGAGCATAATGAGTCCCTAAAAGAGATCTTTAGAAGTGAGAATCACCACTTAAGGAAGCAAACAATGTGTCATGATGTCACATCAGCTTCTGTTCACCTCACCTACCAACTTAGTCAACCATAATTGATCCAGGCTGCAATACTTCAGTTAATGGAGGTTTTGTTATGTCTCAGAGGCAACAAATGGTTACAAATTTGAAGAACTCCTGCAAGAGTTTCATTAAGTGTTTCAAAGTGTCAGCACTTCAACGAGGGAAGTTTTGATCTGGTTTGAAAGTTAAGATCAGTCCATAGTTAGAATATTGTTTTGGGGCAGGGTTGCTGTCAGGGTAGAAGTATTTTTATGTGGTGTCTCATTGGATTTTCTTTGGATGAATTAAACTCCTGTAATTTTTTCTTTGTATTTATTTTTTTAAAAAACAGAGATCAGTCGGAGTCCTTTCTCTATACTAAAGGCCTAAATTTTCAGGATAAGTGTTTGAGACCATCTTCTTAGTCTTTGTGTCTGATTTGGTCTCAGGGCAGTTTGTCCTTAATTACTTCTCAGCTCTCTTGGAGAGATAGTGAAAGGGGTACACGTTATTGCAGGAGAGTATGCCAGAGGAGCCTTGATATATTTCAGGGTAAGAATACTGCCACAGTGGGTTATAGTACACTTCTCACTCTCACAGAAGTGTGGCTAGTAATCAGCCCAAACTGTTGTTTCCTTAATTGTTCATCTCTGTCTGTGGATATCTTTGTGAAAATGTTCACAAAGTTAGAGCTTTCTGGTTCTGACCCTTATTAAGATTCTGTAACATTAAAGGTACCTTTAATTTGTACTGGGGCTGAGTATATATTAGGGCAGAATATAGTTATTTCCCCTCCTCTGTATTTAGACCAATCTTATTTAGAATTCTTCCTAGACTTTCATTCGATCAGTCAGTTTATTGTGTCATTTTTGTTGATGGATTCCTTAATTTTTAGTTTAAAAAGAACAAGTCATTTATTATTAATATGTAAGCAGCTTACAGTGTGTCTTGGTTAGACTGTTAAAGAGAGAGTTTTCCTTTTAATCTAGTATCAGTGTTACTTAAAGTTCTTTCTAGATTCTTGTTTATGAAGACTGCTTTGGGCTTTAAATTTTTCTTGATACCTAAGATTGTTCCTTAAAACTCTGGATTCGGTTGGGAGCGTTCCAACCCTTCTGAAACAGTACTGAAGGTTACAGTTGCCTTGACTTTTGCCATAGGGAGGAGAATCTCAGAGATCCATGCTTCAAGGAGAAGTTCTGATTTCATCTCTTTTGGCAGTTTTTCAAATTAACACAGGTGTGAGAGGCTTCATCTTCATTCTTTGCAAAGAATATTTCTTCCTCCCCCAAGTCATGTATGTATTCATTTCCAAGATTGGAAAACAGACTGGTTCATATAAATCACTTTGCCAAGTTACAACAGTTATCCGTACTTTAGAATTAATGAAGTTGCACTGGAAGGCATTGGTATTGAATCATAGAGTAATGTGGAGTAATATTTTTCATATAAAATGATTGTGAAAACTATTAACTTGACCCAGCTAGGCTGCTTGGTTTGGGCTCTTGACCTCATAGATTGCTTTCTCTAAGGGATGTCCACTTCAAAAATTTTGTCATCTGATATCAGGATTAGGAAGCTTCACTGATGGACTCTGTGGAGCTGGGTAGATTGTAAGGATATTTTCCTTGCTCCATACTACAGTATAACAAAAGTACACAAATTCCTTAGTGTGGTGCATGTCTCATGAGCAACTAGAGCACTTACTTCTACTGCCTCCCATTTTATAGCTGGCTTCAAATATGCGAGTCACATAGGGAGGGCTTCAAGACATAAAGAGAGGAATTATTTTTAAATCCTGTTTCTTGCCTGATTCCATACAAAGCAACTCTTATACCCTCTCCTTTCTTTGTGTAGCATAGAAGTTGTGTGGATTGAAGTTTGAAATCTGATTTTATTGATCCATTTGACAGGCAAGGTGTATGAATGCTGGTGTGTCATCATAACTAAATTTCCATCTTAAATGGTGACTAGCTTCTAATTTTTTTAAAGATCCCTTTTATGAACTTAGTAGTGAAGGGAATTATAATTTGTTAATGAATTAATTCCACCCACTAATGTCTAAGGGCTAACCTGGGCATTGATTCTTTGGACTTAATGCTATAACATCTGTGTTGGGATTTCAGGAACAATCCTTTTTTAAATTAACCTATAAATGACAGTGAGCTTTTTACATGAACTATTTGCTCGAATGGGGAAATATATGAGTTTACAATATCTTATAAAAATGACAAAACATGCTTACAGCTGTGTAATCAGATTTGCTGCATGCCTAACAAGAGCCACGAACAATGGGAGGGAAGATACTGGCTTGCACCAGCTTTGGATCTGTTTTTATTATAGATTCATTATTTTATTCTTGTATGATCAGCCTCGTATAGCGTACTTTTCATCTTATTATAACTTCTTTAATAATAGAAACAAAATACAATAGTATAGACTTTGTAATTTGACCAGGGAATAAAAGATTAAGCTGTATCAGAAGGTATCACTTCCCTGACCCCTTGATCCACTCTCACCTCCTGCAATGTTTTAGGCAAATGAAAATTTTCATTAAGACAGAAACTGTTTATTATGATGAGAGGGAGAATAAAACAAGGCATTAAGATGAAAATAATTAAAATTTTTATTACAGTATTTTCATTTTATAATAATGGAGACCGAGACTTGATACGGCTGGGCTTATGAGGAATGTGGATTTGAGTCGTGACAACTCTGTTCATGTACTTCCTATACACAGGTGTCCTTAGATGGTTGTATTTCTTTCAGTAATCAATAAGAACAGATTTATGTGCAAGGAGCATCAACATGGTAAGGGCACAAACAAGCAAAAGTTCATTTGTGGTGGTATTATACCATGGTGATTTTGCAGTCGAAGTCATTGTCACGACTCCAGTCTCTTGCACCACGAACACCTCATGCACATGTTAGTACAATTTTGTGAAAATGCATTAACCCTTTGTGTATGGGACCTGTCTGCTGAATGAATTCGTCACTCGTTAGTCAAATAATATATTAAAAGGTGTGGCAATTTGATGGGAGTTAAATACCATTCCTGAACGTGCTTGTAATTTAAGGCAAATATGATTTGTTGGTAAGAAACCAACTTTATCAGGTTCCATGATCAACATATATCTTGTTCCATTTTTAGGTCATACTCTTCTCTCGTAAGTTTTCCCATTTGTACTATAATGGCAATAATCTGATAGCTGTATTGAAATCTTTCAGATGGGCTTCTCTGATGTGGGTCAAGATAACCAACCTGTAAGCTTCCAGCAAACATTTGAGCAAAAACGTGTTGAGCATCGTGATGAGCTGCAACGCAAGGAAGATGAGATGAGGCAAACATTTGTCTTGCGAGTTAAAGAAAAGGAGACTGAACTTAAAGAAGTAGAGAAGGAGGTAAGCTAAAATTTAATACAGGTAATTGTAGCAAACATTACCTCTACATTATTTTACTATTTTTTTATATATATTATTATATTAATGATGGTATTGCTTATTTCTTGACAAGAACTCCCCGAGAACCATTAAATAAGCAATATAATTCCATTGGGAAGTAATATCAAACCCTCTTAAGAATGTGAAAGTCTTTTGTTGTTTCTGCATTTATAGTGAAAAATGTTTTTACAGTATTTGGAAATTTCAGTATAAAAATTATTGCCAAATTATACTGTATTACTGTACTACAAGTGTGTTTCTACAGAACTCTTTAAAAACAGTTGATTTTATTCTGATCCTGTTAAGAATTTATCAAGGTTATATTTATTTAATTTTTATGTACTCATTTGTTTTGTTTTAAAAAAGCCTTTCAGAAAATTGTAGTCATTGGTCCCCCAAACCAATTCTTACTTTCCAGTTGTTGGTGAGAAGTGACTGGTTATATGGAAATTAATAAGGAAATAATATATTTAGGAAATTAAGGCTGCTTAGAGAAAATACTAACAATTGTTTGCTAAGGAGGTTGAATGGAACAGTTAGCCTAGGAGCAGCAGAGTCAGTATAGGGATCATGCTCAAGGATTGATGGAGAATGGGTGAAGAAAACAATTGACAAAATGAAGACCGGAAAGGCTCCTGGTAGTTTTAGAATAGTTGTAGAAATGCTGAGAGAATCAGATATGTTTGCATGTCAGTGATGACAAAATTGTTTAATACAATTATGATGAAATAATTGTTCCAGCACATTGGCTGATGAGCTCACAAGAAAAAGGTGGTGCACTTGAATGTGGGAAGTATAGGGGGCATGAAGTTGTTAGATTAGATTGGTTTATGAAAGTTGTGGAAAGAGTGGTGGAGAAATTTATAAGGGCGGCAAAAGTAGACATGAAATGCAATTAGGGCTCATGGCAATTAGGATGACAGGCATATTTATGGCCTGACAGCTACAAAACATGTCTAGGGAAGGAGTGAAAGCTATACTTGGTGCTTGTAGAATTAACAGAGGCCTTTGACCGAGTGCTACATGAAGAAGTGGCTGTAATTTATTGGCCGTTTTCTGACCTTCATGTGCAGTGATTGGAAACGATTGTTCCTGAGATTTTGTATTTACTTATTTCTCATGGCGATTTAATAGTGATGCAATGTCTTTGTGATTGCATTAAAACAGTTAATTGATTGTGTGACCATAAAATGTGATTCTTAATAGTAATTTACTATATCTGATTACAGCTTTACACAAAATATGACACACTGAAGAGAGAACATGCAGAAGAGAAGAAAAGGTTTGAGGATCTCAAGAAACGGCTTGACGAAGAAAAAGCAGAGTTCCAGAAGCGTAAACACCAAGTATCCACTCAACAGCTCACTTCTCACACCCTCACACTGGGCAAAAGTAAGAAGAAGTAAAGTTGGATAATTAAAAATGGTACTGGATTTTACTGAATTGAGACAAAGAAGAAAATGAGACAAACCTTCAAAAAAAAATAAAAAATAAAATAAAATAAAATTATGAAGATTATTAAATGTGTGAAAAGTTGAACCACGTTTAAGGAAAAAGATGATAATTAGAAAATTTTATTAACTATATAATATACACTATAAAAGTACTCCAGAATAAATGAAAACTATACAGGTATTCTATATTGAGAGACTGAAAAAGTGTTAAGAAAATTACAAATAACCAAACTGGTCTTCTTGTGATTGTGTTTTACAATAAAGTACTGGTAGTTTAGTAGAATGACCAGTATACTATTGTCTACTGGATCTTTTCTATGTTTTATTTGTGTCAAGCCTTTAAAATCTTAGTGCTCATTATTACCCAGACATAAAGTGTTTAGTACTAGTTTTTCAGTTGATACACAAGATTGTTTTAATTTTATTTATAAGTATATTTCATTAATAATTTCAAATACAGTATATACAGTACAGCAAATGTCAAATCAGCTAGTGAGATAATACCTTCCTATTAGGATATTCTAATGTAAAGAATGTATATAGATATTAGATGGTAAAGAAGTAAACTACTGTATTAAGTATTCTTCCATAAAGATCAACACTAAAATGAAAATTATACTTGTGTTAGACAAAACATGCTGCTCTCTGATGTGTTGATAAGATGTATTTTTTGTGCCACTTTAATATGATATATGTGAAGAAACATACAGATATCTTACCTATTAATTACTTAAGAGTAAAGTATTTAGGCAGTACTATAGTGTACTGTAAGAGTGGGTATACTATATTGTACTTTGAACAGATGCCACAACTTTGAAAAATCAGTTTTATTCACATTTATTTTTATTTTAAGGCACCCTATTAAATTGTTCTTGCATTTGATTATTTGATGACTTTACAGACCATGAAATAATATATTAATTTTGGCACAGTTGATTTTAAAACTGCATTTATTTTTTCCTGATTCCATTACCATTCACCAATGAAGCTTCTTAAGGGAATCCAAATGCAGTTGAGACATTGAATCTCTCTGTTCAGATTATAGCAGATGGTATTAAATCTGACAGATTTATAAACAGACCTAATACCTACAAATATGGTACAGTACTGCACTCAGTTTTACTGTGTCAGTTTCTCTCTCAAAAAAAGGGAAAAAATACATATTTTGTTTGATAGTGGAGTTTTAAAGCTGTGTTATGTTCTCAGATTTATACTTTACTGATAACTGATGACACGTATTTCATCAATTTATTTTAAGGGAAGGTATTTTTTAAGTGTACTGAAATGCAAGGATGTCTTAAAATCTAGCAGTAAATGGAAAATTAGATCAGAAGACAAAATGTGTAGTGGATTTTTTTCTTTTAATCTTCATAAGTTAACTGTGTTTACCAAGGCACAAATTCATTTCTTTTCATTTTCACAGATGAAATTTATTGTAGCTCAAATATATACAGTAGATCATGAAATATGTGTACCACCCTTCCTGGAATGTAGGAAATTATGCCATGATATAGATGGAAGATTCTGTATTACACAATACTTCCTTTAGGTGACTTAAAGTAAGTAAGATGGAAAGTGAGACTACTGTGTTCAGAAATTAGGATAATATGTTGTGGCCAGCTATACCAAAGCTTCTTGTATTGTTCTTGTTTATTCAGTGCTTTAGTAGTCATGAACTGAAGGTTTGTTTTCTAGTATTAGCTTATTTGGTCAGTCTTGTCCTGAAATAAAATTATTTTTGTGAATTTTTCAGAGTTAGTTTTGTTGTTGACTAGATTCTGAAATTCCTTTTACAATAAAAATTATATATAATTAATAAGGATATAAAGTTTCATAGTGTCACTGATGAAGTGCAGGTGATACTGTACACTCTTTGTTTGCTACACCTTGATTCTAAAGTACAGTAGTATTTTATTAATGTAAAAATTTACAACCACGGTTTCGTACTTAACACTTCCACAGGAAATGTATGAGAATATCATTCCATTTTTAGTCATTTTCGTCCGGGTTCTAGCAGATTTTGTTTACCATAATTGAGGATATTATTCATCATGGTCAAGGCTACTATAGTACTCTATCTTAGTTTTTGAAGAGCTTGTAAGAATATTAATATTCTTGGATTCTACCAAACTCTTTCTAGTCTAAGATTAACTATTTTGTATGCATGTCATAATATTAAAATTTCTAGATACCTGTACTGCCTTCCATTCCTGTCATTAATAGTTTTTGTATGAAGTTTAAATATATCTAAAAATTGAATTTTCTTTATATTGCTGTATCCTGTATAAGCTACCAGTATGTAGATTCTGTTTGGTCAATGGAAAATATTTACTATGCAAGTGCATAGTTGAGTGCTGATGATTAGTGTCAATATTTATCTTTATTGTTGTCAATCTGCAATTGTATGAGCTCATGTCTTTGTCTTTTATTACTTACCAGACTCCTGCATCTGTTGGTGTCATAATGCGCCTGTCAGGACCTAAAGCGTTAGCTTGGGTTATGGAAGTTGTAGAGATGATGAGAGAGAAAGTGGACATTAATGAAAATTTAATGCAGTTTGGGTTCATGCCAGACAGGGAAACTACAGAGGCAATATTTTCTACCAGTTAATTACAAGAGAAGTCGAGGGAAGGTGAGGAAGCTGTATAAGTACTTTGTATTTGTAGACTTTAGAGGGGCATTATACAGTTTATTACATAAGAAAGTTAAGAGGTTGAGTGTCTTGTGTGAGTGGTTATGACATTGTATGAGGGCTTGAGAACCTGTGAGAGGAAATTGCATGGAAAATGAGGAATTTTAGGTGTAAATAGAGGATGATGTTTTGAGTTTCTTTCTGTTTGTTACGGAGTTACAACCACTATCACAATATTTTCGGAGTTGACGCATGATGGCAATTTAGTGCTAGTACTGTAGTAGATAGTATTGAAGAGATAGTGGACAAATTCAAGAAATGGAAGGATGGGATAAATTCAAAGGGCTTAGGTTGAAAGTTACAAAAATAAAAATAATAATTAGAGGTATAGGTGAAGGAACGGTGATGGAAAATGTAAAATCGACATTTGCTGTCTGTAAGAAAAGCATTGGTTGCAACTTAATAATGTAGTGTATGGAAGGGGGGTACACAAAAAGTGCAGGGGTGTAAATGGCCGACTGCAGGATGTTACTGGCATTAAATGTACTCTTATGTGCAGGCAATCAAGACTGTAAAAGCTTGATACTGTTCAAGAGATATATCCTTAGATTATGTTGACTTCTGCCACCTGGGTGACATGATCACTATTGGAGGTGGTGCAAGAGTCAGAAGTGGCTGGAAAGAGGATCTTTTCTTCACTCAAAAGGAAAGATGTATACTACAACCAGACTGAGAAGAGTAATGTATGGCAGCAAAACATGAATTGTTGAAGAGGTAGAGATACGTAGGCTTATCAAACCGAAATGAAAATGGTGAAATTGATGAGTAACATAGCATTCAGAGATAGAAACCCTGTTCAGAGTTGAGATGGCAACTGGGTATTTAGTGTATTAGTGGTTTTACATAGAGGTAGGCTGAGATGGTTTGAGCATGTGGAGAAAATATAGGGGACCAGTTGGATTAAGAGATGTGTGAGTTTGAATGTGAAGGGGAGGAGATCTAAGGGTAGACCAAGAATGAAATGGTGAGAAGTGATCTCAGAAATAAGTATCAGACAAGAAGGGCTGCAAGAGACTGTGCCGTTCGGAAATCTGCCATCAAGTAGTCACGGCTAACTCTTGCAAGTGACAATGATGATTTGCTTATTTTACATGAGTTACTTGAGACTGACATAAGGCAAGGAACATTACATTGCCAAACAAATTTTTTACTAGTCTTCAAATATAGAAAAGGATGGTGAGTCATTAGCCTTGGGTATGTGTGTATGATGAGGAAATAGTATACCAAAATACTACCAAGCTGTGCTTCCCTTATTATAATTACATCTTCAAACAGTTGCAAGACTATTCATGTGTTTTCTTTTTTGACTCTCAATTAGTGTATTTTTCTTCTAATTTACACTTGGACCTTTTATAAGTTTTAATTCTTTGGATGAGTATTTTGTTGCTAAGCTGCATTCCCAAAGAATGTCAATTCTCCAGTAAAATATGAAAATTGTATCTGGTTCTTTTTTTACTACTTTTTAATCAAGGTAAAACCATAAAGTTTCCATATTTGGTAACAATATTTTTTAAAGTGTTCTATGAAGACAACAAAATTAATGACCTAAGATGATGGCTTACTGTACATGTAGAGGGTTTTCTATAAAGTAATTTAAGTAAAAAACTAGTTTGATTAAAAGGTAAGTCACCAAAAATATGAACCCAAGTTCAGTGATTGAAAATGTCAACACAGCCATGACACAGTGAGCAGTAAGCTGTCATACTTGTACCCTAGTCTATTATAATATTTTGAGAAGTACTGTAATGCCACGATGGTTTTACTGTACGTTTTTTATTTATTTTATTTTTTCTTTCAACTGTAAGTGCTTCTAAATGTAAATAAGAATAAAGTCATGCAATATCACATGTGTGCCACATTTATAAAAGGAGAGGGGGTAAATTTTTATGCATTTGTTTCCTAAAAATTCCAGACCACTTGAGTTTCCAGTTCATGGAAATCCGGATTAAGGAGGCTCAACTGTGTTAATTACTGAACTGACCTGGATTGTGTGGCACTCCAGACTGCAAGGTTAGTATTCCAACACTATCCGTACTGTACTAACTTATTGGAGTAAATAATGTGACTCTCCTCACAGTGTGTAATGCTACTTTTGTACTGTACTTAGAGTGTATAGTATTGGCACATCCTGCCTCCTTATTAATTTTTTCTTGAGTGCAGTATATACCATATTTACCTGCCTGTGGCATATAGGGATCAGTAATTAACGTACAAAGTTACGGATATGCTTATTTATTTAGGGGCATAATGTACTTGTAAAGTCACTTGAATAGCATACATTCAATGATTATAATGAACAATCAGTGTGTTATTGTTTTCACAGTCAGTAATGTCTTCTTGTGGAAGCTAAAATATAAGTTCTGTACTGTACTGTACTGTAGTTTATATTCCTGCCTACTAATGGACACAGTATAATTCTCAGCCCAGTACATTATCTTACATTTTTCAACATAAGAATTATGTAGTTCTTCTGGTGGTAGCCAGAATAAAAATTTCAAGTGCGGGAATCGCACCAAAAGGGTTAGTACATGGTAAGGTAAAAAATATAACAATGTCTATTTGGAATGTACGGGACTTCTTCACAACTATCTTCACACACTACTGAAATTATTTTTAAACATCACTAGAATAATAACTTTAAAATGTTGTACAGAAGAATACCTTGGTTTTTTATTATTTATAGGCAAACTAGAGTAAATATTGTGCTCAGAGTCAGCTGTGGCAAGTAGAGGACAACCTCTGACATGTTTGAGAATTCCAATCACATAATACTGTATAGTACGTATTTATCTCTTCCAAAAATACAAACTAAGTAGTGTTTCATACTTGTACTTTCATATACTGGTATCCTTTGCTATATGAATGGGTTAGTTTCCTTGAAAACCATTTGTTAAGTGAATACAGTACTGTACTGTACTGTACAAGGGGTATTTTAGAGCAAATACTGTAATGTAAAATATGGAAAAAATAGGGTTCAATTCCCCAATAACAAGAAAACTGTACAAAAAAATATTAAATTTGTTCACAAGCAACAAAAAACAACTGTAATTTAGTACAGTACCTAACTATAAGGAAACACCATTACAGTACAGTATTATTAAAAAAGATATATACAGTAGGTTCACAACAAAACCTACCCATCTACTGTAATTTAGTACTAACACATTAAAAATTAATAAAAGAAAATTAGTACATGATCTTAAGGGACCATCATTCATATAAGCAAGAATAGCTTTTGTATAGTAAGAAAGAGTTGTAAGAATAAAATATTCTAGAGCGAATGTCCGTACAACAAGGGATACCTGTACAGTACATAATAAACTATCTTTTGAAAATGTACATATGAATCAGTGCTATCAGAGAGTGATGCTTGGCATAAAATTTGCATCTACTGTACTCGACTGTCAGTTGATTGCTACTATACAGTGGCTCAATAATTGTGGGTCCAAGACATCCAGCTTTTATCAAAATGCTGTACCACAGTTTTGTAGCCTCTGCTGCTGTTCCTGTCTTACTTTTTACTCCACTTTTTTTTTGAGTTGGTATGATATGAGTGCTGCCAATTGATGTACAGTACTGTGACAAATTAGTCTTGTAGATGAAAGTATGATACAGTTTTGAAATACTTGTCTCTTAATGGTAAAAACTATAATAACAGTTACGTACCTCTCTTTACAGTACAATATAGTACTGTACAGTACAGTACATAATTTATATTACCTTCTTTGAAATAAGCCTCTTATTTTTATCAATAAGATATTATCATTATTAATAAAATTTGAAATGATAGGTATCCCAGGCATACTGGAGTAATAAGGGTGTGTATACTGTACTTTTTGGTATTACATTACTGTAGATAAATAATAAATTAGCACATGCAGTACTGTATATTGAAAGATTAAGTACAGTAATGTATATGACATGGATAGGTTTGTACATGATATTGAAAGAGAAGGACAATATATAATACTGAAAGTAGGGAAGATTGGGTAAAAAATACTGTATGGGGGATTAATTAAGAAATAAAATAAAATAATTATACCTAATATGGAAGAAAAAGCTCCCTATTAATGTATAATAAAGACTATCAAAGGAAAATATTTAATGGAGGGAAAAACACTTAGTGTAGAAAACTGTTCTCACCTGATATTGAGAACTACAGTACAGTTCTTGGGTTTATGGGCACCTCTAGAAATTTTTGGAAAATTATTGTTATGGTTGTACAATTCTTACAAGAATACATTAATTTTGGAAGAGGGAAGGTATGGAAATTAAAGGATAAATGAAAGAACGTGTAGATTGCAAACTAACATAACTTGAATGCAATAAACAGAATGAAGGTGGTAAAAGGGGAGGAAGGACTAAGGTGGAATAGAATGAGTCAGTGATAAAGGGAGAGTGAGACAAGCTTAGCATAAAGCCAAAAATTATATTTCTTAAAAGCATATTCTAGTTGACAGGTCTGGCACAGTACTGTACTGAACTTAAGACAATATATACAATCAATCTCTTGCCAACAAACTATATAAGTATTGTCCTATGAGTAACTTAGTCTGTACCAGTAAGATAAAGTAGGACATGCGTCGATATCAATTAAAAGGCGGACGGTGTGGTAGGGACGAGTGACTGCCTTGGAGTGGAGGGAGGAGTCCTTGACACAATATACATACACAAAGACGATGAAAGGGCTCAGCCCATGCTGGCCACAAAGAAACGGGCTCGTCGAGGGTAGGCTGATATATCTATTGGATGCCTCCTTGGCCTGCCGAAAAAAAAATATAAAGTAGGATGCAATAATTATTTTCCTGACCATGATTTATTAATCCTTTGTCTACAAGTAATTAATCTGGAGTGTATTGACTGTTTTTTTTTAAGATAAATTCCAATCCCCTATTTTTCTGTTACTGTACATTCCATAAAATAGAGTAACTAGACAAATATAAATTGCATAGCACAATTATAGTGGAAAAGCAAATAGAAAAACAAAACAAAGCAACATTAATGGTTCTGTCTCCACAATGTCACAGGTCCTGTGAAAACATTTTATGGTGAACTCCATAAGGATTAAAATTATTGGTAAAATTGCTTCAGTATTGTTACAGGTCAAGTTATTGTTTAGAAAACCTTAGACATTGTAACTCTTGAAGGAAATCAAGGAAGATACAGCTTACATCTTTGCTGCAGTCTCTCTAATGTACACTTTTCTTTAGATTTTACAGCTTGTTTACTATTCCATGGGGGTAACTCCCATCCACACCTCTCCACCTTCCTCACCACAACTAATGTCTCAAGGTTTGCATCTTAAAAAGTGCTCTCAATTCTATTGATTTTGTGCCAAAGAACAAGCTTTTGTTAATACAACTGCTGTGTAGTGTTAGGTTCATAAGGATGATGCAGTTTTCCACGAGTATAATGTGAATGTTCTGTGATTGTACTGTATGCACACAGAGTCCCCACATGATGTTGTATACACAGTAAAGTATCTTCCTAAAAAGTGTGACTTTAAACACAATGACACTAAATGAATCTATTTTTTCCACACTTGACACCACCTGCTGGATCTCTGGACAGAAATATGAAACAACACTACATATGCAATTATCCAGCTACTCGACTGAGGCATTGGTATTACCCTCTCATTAAGTGAGCCTTGACTCACTACGAATCGCAATATGAGGTAATATCTGGTCGTGCGTTATTTGTTTCATATATCTGCATCATGTCAACTCTCGTTATTCTTCTCTATATGAACATGGCAGTCAATTTCGGGCAGTGACTGCAGCTGCCTGATAAATGCTAATATGTATCATTATCTGATTGTTGAAATGAAAGTTATGAAAAAAAAACAGTATCTGAAGTCAGCCAGAGTCTTACATTAGGTTTTCCTATTAATTGTAATGTGGTAATGCAAATTATTATAAGATAATTGGGATGTGATAAAACAACTTGGTATAAGATAATTGGACTGTGATACCAACTGGTATAAAATAACTGGGATATGATAACACAACTTGGTATAAATTAAAAAAAAAAATTCAATGACAATTTAGCTGGTATCATTGTGTACTGGCATAAACGAGAAGAGGTTGGCACAATATGTACTTAACAATAGGTACTGTACAGTCAACTAAAAATTTCTGCACCCCTGGGTCTGACTGTCTTTCCAACAATCACTGACCGAGGCCATGTTCATTTGGTAAGATTGTGTGATGCATTTTGTAACCAATATGATGTGTTTTGTATATCACGCATAGTTAATACAGGTACAGATAAATTAACAAGAATATATATAACCTACAAATATTGTTCAGAATTTTTGGTTCGGTGTGTCATATTGTACGAGGTCTGTCCAAAAAGAAACCAAACTTTTTAAATAGCGCGCCAATGAGCCAGCGTAGTGTCCTCGCAATGGGAGCACTGTGTAGCGGTGACCTTGACCTTTAGTCTAGCACTAGTTGCATCATGCCACATCAATTAGTCATCAAGCTACACGTGCTAGAGTGAATGTGTGTTTAGTGCACTTGGCGATTTGTTGCAAGTTGAACAATGAAGGATCTTGAAGAGCAACGTGTTTGCGTGAAACTTTCAAATTGGGAAAAACTTTTAAGGAGACTTTTCAAATGTTGCAACAGGCTTATGGGGAGGATTGTTTGAGCTGTACGCAATGTCACGTGTGGTACCAGCATTTCAAAAGGGGAAGAACATCCACCGAAGACGATCCCAAATCTGGACGTCGCTCAAATGTGGAGGTGATGTTGATCGTTTTTTTTGATTGGAAGGACGTCGTTCATCATAAGTTTGTTCCACGTGGTCAGACAGTCAATAAAGAGTTTTACTTTGAGGTCCTGAAGCATTTGACGGAGGCAGTGCGAAGGAAGAGGCGTGAGGCGTGGACAAACAAGACCTGGATGCTGCACCATGACAATGCACCTGCTCACGCATCACTCCTTATCCGTGACTTTTTGGCGATGCATGAGACGACTATTGTCACCCAGCCGCCCTACTCTCCGGATTTGGCCCCTGCGGACTTTTTTTTCTCCAAAAGTTGAAATCCACCCTGAAAGGTCGCCGATTTTAAACGATAGAAGGGATAGAAGAAAATTCGCTATGAGACCTGCACACCATCCCTCAAAACGCGTTCCAGGACACGTTCCAGAACTGGAAAAAAACGTTAGGAGCGGTGTATCAACAGTGGAGGGGAGTACTTTGAAGGAGACAAATCTGATTAAGTTGTAAGTAAAGAAATAAATTTGTTTTTTAAAAAGTTCGGTTTCATTTTGGACAGACCTCGTATAACACCGTAAAGGTACAGATTTTGGTTTGTTTTGTTTTGACTGTACTCTGTACTACATATAGTGGTAATGTATTCAGTGTACCCCACCCCTCCTGTCATTCCATGAACAATCTAACTAAAAAAATAAGCCAAAGCACTTACGTAGTCATCTGGAGATGGAAGGGTGAGGGGAAGGTGTAAAAAAATAAATGCATGAATCCTTCAGGACACATACACCTTTAGACTGTAACTATGAAAATGTATAAATGACGCAGGATAGAAGTAAGTATAATTTCATGCATAAAAATATTCAGATAATTATGAAAATCATTAAATTCCCATAATAAGAGATTTGTGTCCCATGATTCATTAGAGTTTACCACCTGGTTGTCACACTGGAGAGGATTTATGTAGGCTATTGTACAGTATAAACGTTATACTGTACATATGTGATTGATCCTGTGGAAAGAAGGAGAGCCTCACATGACTATGGTTGCTTCTTCCTTTCTTGTTATATTCCCTTCCCATCTTTCCTGCATTTTCCACTACTTTCCTTTGCCGTTTTCTGCCACATCTTTCTCATAACATTAACAAGTTTTCCATTATGGCAAAACCAATGCCAACAGTTAGTACAACAACAGTACATCACTCCAACAGTACTGTACACCACACCAGCAGTACACTATTACCCCAGCAGTACACCACTACACCGCCGGTACACTACTACCCCCACAGTACACAACTACACCAACAGTACACTACTCTAACAGTGCACTACACCAGCAGTAGACTACCACACCATTACTACAGCAGTACACAACTACACCAGCAGTGCACTACACCAGCAGTACACTACACCAGCAGTACACTACTACAGTACACTAGCAGTACACTACTACACCAGCAGTACATTACTACACCAGCAGTACACTACTACAACCAGCAGTACACTACTACACCAGCAGTACACTACATCAGCAGTACACTACTACAGTAGCATTACTACACTACTACACTACAGTAGCAGTACACTACTATACAGCAGTACACTACTACACACAGTACACTACTACACCAGCAGTACACGACTACACCAGCAGTACAATACTACACCAGCAATACACGACTACACCAGCAGTACAATACTACACCAGCAATACACGACTACACCAGCAGTACAATACCACAATAGCAGTACACTACTACCCCAGCAGTACACTACTACACCAGCAGTACACTAATATACCAGCAGTACACGACTACACCAGCTGTACAATACTACACCAGCAATACACGACTACACCAGCAGTACAATTCTACACCAGCAATACACGACTACACCAGCAGTACAATATCACAACAGCAGTACACTACTACACCAGCAGTACACTACTCCAGCAGTAGCAGTACACTACTACACCAGCAGTACACGACAACACCAGCTACACCTACACCAGCAATGCACGGCTACACCAACGGTACACAACACCAGCGGTACACGGCTACACCAGCAGTACACTACTACACCAACGTACACACTACAGTAACCGTACACTACTACACCAGCAGTGCACAACTACACCAGCAATGCACGACTACACCAACAGTACACTACTACAGTAGCAGTACACTACTACACCAGCAGTGCACAACTACACCAGCAATACGTACACCAACAGTACACTACCACCAACAGTACGCTACTACGGTAGCAGTACACTACTACCAGCAGTGCACAACTACACCAGCAATGCACGACTACACCAGCAGTACACTACTACCAACAGTACACTACTACAGTAGCAGTACACTACTACCAGCAGTGCGCAACTACACCAGCAATACACGACTACCAACAGTACACTACTACGCAACAGTACGCACTACTACAGTAGCAGTACACTACTACACCAGCAGTGCACAGCTACACCAGCAGTACACGACTACCCAACAGTACACTACTACCAACGGTACACTACAGTAGCAGTACACTACTACACCAGCAGTGCACAACTACACCAGCAATGCGACTACACCAGCGGTACACTACTACCAACAGTACTACAGTAGCAGTACACTACTACACCAGCAGTACACAACTACACCAGCAATGCACGACTACACCAGCAGTACACAACACCAGCAGTACACGACTACACCAGCAGTACACTACTACACCAACAGTACACTACTACAGTAGCAGTACACTACTACACCAGCAGTGCACAACTACACCAGCAATGCACGACTACACCAACAGTACACTACTACAGTAGCAGTACACTACTATAGTAGCAGTACACTACACCAGCAGTACACGACTACACCAACAGTACACTACTACAGTAGCAGTACACTACTACACCAGCAGTGCACAACTACACCAGCAATGCACGACTACACCAACAGTACACTACTACAGTAGCGTACACTACTATAGTAGCAGTACACTACACCAGCAGTACACTACTACACCAACAGTACACTAC